CTGAAATCGCCGAAGCAACCTGGCCAATCTCGGTGCTCCCCTTCAGATAATATAAATTATGATTTCGGACTCCCTTCATCACCACCAAAGATCCCTTAGTAACCTTTGCTACAGCATCCTCAAAGGTCACCCTGAATCCCTTCGCCTCCAAAGCCCCCACTGAGATAAGATTCTTCTTAAGTTGAGGAACGAATCTCACCTCCTTCAGCTCACGGACTACTCCATCGTGCATCCGAATCCTCACAGTACCTATCCCACGAACGCCACAGGATTGATCATTTCCCATGACCACAACACCCCCATCGAGTCTCTCAAATGATGAGAACCAATCTCGCCTAGGAGTCACATGATAAGTAGCGCCAGAATCAAGCATCCACTCCGATGCATCCAAATGGTTCACCTCCGGAGTAATCAAAAGAGAAAAGCTCGAATCATCGGAATCATCGCCTTTCGCAACATTCACCTCATTGGCCTTCGGGCCCTTATTCTTGCTATTCTCCTTTTCTTTGACTTTCGGGCAATCTCTTTTCCAATGTCCCTGCTCCTTGCAGAATGCACATTGATTCTTTCCAAGCTGGTGACGACCTCTTGACTTTGACCTCCCTCTGTTTCCACCTTTCTGATATGAGCTTCTACCTCTCGCCGACAAGGCCTCTCCTGAAGTACTAGCGCGGGAAGTCTCCTTATCCTTCCTCCTCAAATCATAGTTCGTCAATGCGTTAGTCACTTCACTATAAGTGATAGAAGATCTCCCGTTCAGCAACGTAAGCACGAAGGTATCATACTCCTCATCCGGTAAGGAGCCCAAAAGAATAATAGCCTTGTACTCATCTGTGATCTTCTCATCCACGTTCGCCAAGTCCGACAACAACTTAGTGTAGTTGTTCACATGAGCCGCAAGCGAGGTACCTCTGGACATCTGGAATCTGAATAACCTTCGCAGCAAGTGCAACCGGTTCTCAACACTCTTCGTAAGGTACTTATTGTTGAGAATTTCCCACATCTTCATCGCAGACGTCACCCCAATCACATCGTATTTCAGCTCCTGTTCCAAACAGGACCTGATCACCCCGCAAGCATTTCGATTCATCTTTTCCCATATCGCCTCTTCATATTTAGGTGGCCTCACATCGACCATGATGGTCTCCTCCAGATTTTGAGCATTGAGCGCATCCTGTACGTCGCTCATCCACAAACCAAAATTGATCTTGCCGTCATATTTCACAACACTAATCTTAGTGTTCTGAAAACCCACTTGAACTGTGCCTGTCATCTTGCTGCTTTCACCAATTACTTCACCCATAATCACAACTTCCAAATTGTAGAGAAAGATCCAAACTTTGAAAGAATAAGAAATTACCCAACTGAACCCTAGATTGGATTCCAAATAGAACTCCTAACCACACGAGGAAAGCGAGATCTTCAACGGCAACTTCAAACCCTAACTCCACCAAAGCCTAGAACTCCAAGAACCAAGCTTCAAACTGAATCTTCCTCCACCTAATCCAAAACCCTAGATCTGAATCTGAGCTCTGATACCACTTGTCGCGCGCCTTTGCGGAAGCCTTGCACGAACTCACAACGAACCTGTGATCACGAGTAGAAGAAAGACAAACTCTTGCACAAATCCAACCAATAAAGCCAAATCAATCCAAACACAGAGATATACGTGGTTCGGCAATTTGCCTACGTCCACGGGGAGAGGATGGGGAGATTTCACTAAATCAAGGAGAGTACAAAGGGTTACAATCACACAAATTCTCTCAAACTAACCCTCAACCAAAGATCTCACCTTGCTCATAATATCTCCCTCTCACAATGCTCAAAAGATTCCTCAATCTCTGATATTTTAACCTCACAAATCGTTTCCCTATTTATACCAAAACAAAACCCCAATCAGACTGCAAATAGGAAACCTACGTATGCAAAAAAACCCGTCGTAAGTCGACTTAACAGAGCTCACAAGTCGACTTGACAGAGAGAAAATCAACAACTGGAGAACACTTCATAAGTCGACTTAACAGACTGTTAAGTCGACTTGCCATAAGTCGACTTAACAGTCATGCTAAGTCGACTTGACAGAGGCTAAAATCACAATTCGGCTGCAGATCGTAAGTCGACTCGTGCACAGTGCATGAGTCGACTTATGCCAGTTTTTCTGGTTTTTCTGATTCTTTTCCTGATTTCTCCACAATGAAGTCAAGCAAATGATGTCTGATTACAGTCATCAAACAAATTACAATAAACGATGTTTTTGTTCAGATGCAGCAACCCTAATTAACCCAAATGAATTTTCCCTTTTATTTTTCATTTTTTCATTTTTTTAGAGAGAGACAGAGCTAGTGGCTTAAATTCAAATTGTACGTTGAACTGATTTCTTATATAGAAATTCCATGAAACTGCCACGTGCGCATCATTTTAATTGCGTGCATATATATATTGCTCTCCTTAATACCTTGACTTTGACAATTTCTAATCCTTTTTGGCTGCCTAACGTCCCTAACGTCTTCTCTCTTCCTCTCTATATATAAGTACCCCATAGAATGATAACAATGATAACTTCCACAGATATCAAATTCCTTTGAAAATATTTTAACAAAAAGATCTCCAACTTAAATCAAAAGCAAATAAATTCTATTTTTTTTTCTCTCGCTATTTTGAACGAAAAGAGCGAAGAATGGGAAACTGTGTCAAACCAGTGAGATCACGGGCAGACGACGGAGATCGGGACTCCGGCCGACGAGCACCAAGAGAGCCTGAAACACTCTAAGGCCGAAAGAGTAACGATAAAGATGAGCAAGAAACAGTTGGAGGAATTGCTACTGCAAGTTAAGAAACAAAGATATATTGTCGATAAATGAGATATTATTAGCTTCATATCATGTGAGTACTGCATCAAGAAATAGCGGAAATAGGAGTAATAGAGCTTGTAATTGGTCATGGGGGTCAAGACTTGAGAGTATACCAGAAATGGTGATGGAATGTGATTTAACTCTTCGTTGAGGGTTTTGATTGTATATTGAAAATATGTGAATATAGTTCGTTGATATTTGATTTTACATTGTTGGAAAAAAAAAAATGTCAGTTCTCTCTTTGATGATTTTGGTTGCACACTGAAAATATGTGGATAGATTTCATTTATTTATATTTGATTGAGCCTTTAATTAAGGGGAAATTCAATCCGTTGTTGCAAAAATATATATTTCCTTTTCTGAAAGAAGTTTTAATATTTGAGATGGAAAATTTGAATGTGAAATCGTTAGAGTATGATATTTTGTCTTGAATGGGGTGATAGGGCTTATTGGAAATACATATAGACTCATAACATATATACTCGTCGCACTTCAATCTGAAATAATTTCCACAGATAAGAATCCAACATTTGCGCCCAGAACTTTCATATGGTTAGGGTTACAATATACATAGAGTATAACGATCTTAGTTATAGGCATGTATAAAAATACATCTTTGCGTTACTATAATGTAAATCGAAGTCGTCCATTATTATCTACGTGCCATCAAATCTTAGTGGATCAAAAATCATGTGGCCCGGAATTTTCTACCTATAATTTAAGCAACTCCAACTAATTGTCATTTGAGATCTTCACAGACCATTCATTTTTAGACCATTAGATGCGTAAACCAGAAATATTAAATCTATGTGATATCTTATCTCCCCAAAGTTTTGAATGCAATATATCACAATGAACGGTGTGGATTATAAATATCAATAGTAAAACATACACTTGTATAGGCGTGTATAACTAAATTAGTTACGTCATGTGTGTATTATAACTGTATCCATTTGATACATATTAATGGAAATATATTCATTTATCGAGGGGGGGAATATTTTCAATAATTTCGGATCAAATTAAATTAAGCAAAGTTCAGGGCAATTGATTAAACTTATCATTACAAACAAAATACTGAGCTAATGGCCAGGTGCAAATACAACATGAATCACTAAAGCCCAGAATTGACCATGGGAGGGTCTTAATTTGGCTGGGACCCAGTGATCCAAAGCCCACTCTAATTAAGTAATATACCCTTTCGGAAAATAATTTCTCGTTCAAAATACAAGGCTTAATTTGTTCGCCTGGTCTCCAATATCATTCCGCCGGCGATTACTGTCGCTTGCAGGCTTTTCCGAACCAATCGATCGCCATCTGATAATATTTATATTGTTATTTTATTCATTTATTAAAATGTTAACAGAAATTGTGCTGGACGTACGTAAAAGTGGAGGCTAAATGAAATGATAGCTAGCATCACCATTAAACGATCTTCATAACTTGAGGGTATATTAATTGCTAACGTAATTTCTTCTTTTCATGGGCCTAGTTAGACCGGGCTCAGAACTCTTGATATCATTTGGGCTTTGTCCTATGAACCTTTTAGCGGAGGGCCTTACTGCGTTTTTTAAGCACGAGAGAAAATGAAATATATATAAATCGTATTTAAAAATCTGATTTAGTGAGAGAAGCCACTGATAATTTACTCGCTGTGCAACTTTAGTTCTTCATCTTAATTTTTCTCAACTTGATTAACTTGATGGTGTATGGGCTTCAGTTTGCACAAAAGATCAGAACACCAGTTGGTTATCTGGAATCAGTTCGCCATAGGACAAAACTATAGAAAACCTCTTCTCGTTAATTGCTATCAGAAATTATGTATTTTTTAATATAGTGATGTAGACACTGAATCTAGACATAAATCAAAATTCGAAAGCCAAACTGTTGTAGACCGCATATAGTTTTTTTCCCAAAGGTTTAAAGCGAAACACAGAAATAGACCTGCTCATTCAAGACTACACCAACGACCAAAGGTCCAACCATCGATCACTCAAACTGTCAAACAATATTATTACAAACCCCAAATGCATCACAAGGATTCAGATTGAAAACCACACATACATAAAAATGAACGAATTTTATATTGTACTATGTTACAACTAACCGAGAAAATTAGCAGAGAAAATGGAGTTTACAAGAATTCAGAAAAAAATCACAGATACATTAAAAATGAATGAATTTTGTAGTGTAATGTTTTACACAAACCGAGAAAATAAGCAGAGAAAACTGGAGTTACGTTATAATATTTCTTTCTTGAAAACAAAAAACGATTAACTGTACCAAATACTTTGTCAAAAAGATAGTATAGAGAAGAAAAGGAACAAACAGATTTTGCCAGCCGTAAACCTGGTGCTCACTGCTCAGCCTGCACATTCTAAATATTTGCCTGCTCATTCCGAACATTGTCACTATCGAGCTTCTGTTCATGCCTCACGATGTTCGCCTGCTCATTTTGATCACTATCCACATCTACTTCTTGCTTCTTCATGTTCTTAGCGTTCTCATGCTCAATGCTGTCCACATCGAGTTCTTGCTGGTTCGTGTGGTTATCCTCTTCGTTCTGAATGTTAGGATGCTCAATCTGAAAGCTATCCTCACTAAGTTCTTGTTGCTTTCTGTCATTAGTCTGTTCACACTGAATGTTATCCATATAGAGTTCTTCTTTTTGCTTCATGTTGTCAGCTTCCACATAAAATTCTTGCTGCTGCTTCATGTCCTTAGCCTCTTCCTTCTGAATGTTAGGCTGCTCACTCTGATAGCTATCCTCGTCGACTTCTCGTTTTTGCTCCAAATCATTAGCCTGCTCGCTCTGAATGCTATGAAGTTCTTGTTGTTGCTCTCTGAGGCTAACCTGGTCATTCTTAATGTTGTCCTCACCGAGCTCTAGCTGTTGTTGCTTTATGTTGTCATCCTGTTCATTCTTAATGCTATCGAAATCTTCTTGTGGCTCTATGTTTTTAGCCTGCTCGTTCTGAATGCTATTCTTATTGGCTTCTTGTTGTTTCTCAGCGTTATTTGCCTGCTCATTCTGAATCATATTCTTGTCCGGTTCTTCTTGCTTCTTTATACTGTCAGCCTGCTCCTTCTGAATTTTCTCCTTATACAGTTCTTCTTGCTTCTTTATGTTGCGAGCCTGCTCTTTCTGAATGTTCTCCTTGTCAAGTTCTTGTTGTTTTTTCATCTTTGCTTCTACCCTCTTGATTGCCAAAGTTAGACGCCTCACATTCGTAGCTTCTGACAGTTCATCCCGAAACTGGGACTGGAAAAAGAATACAATATTCAGCAGCACATATTCCAAATTACAAGCAGTTAACAATCAAAAATTCTGTAATTCTAAAATTGCAACTTTTCTGCAGGAGTGAACAAAAAAACAACTAGATACACAATCACATAATAAAACTGAAAACTGTATTGTTTACTTGTTTCTTATAAGATTAAATTATATCTTTTTGACGACGGTAACAACTATAATGAAGTATCACCAGCATTCAGATTCATTCGTTACTGCATCAATTTCCATTACAAAATAATATTCATAAAATAGATAGAAGTAAAGGTGCACAGTTGAGGAGCGGCAGTTTGAAAACCATGAGGTTTGTTTGATAAGAGGCAGAAAGCATCACGTTGGAATGAGTCACTAGAGTCAAAATCATCTTCATGCGATTAAATTCAATTCCTCATATACTAGAACAATTATAAACTTCACGAAACTTGATACAGATTATAAATAAAAAATATTCACTAACTTAAATCATTTTATCTTTGTGTTTCATCATAGGATTACATTTCTTCTTCTTTGTTGACTAACAATCTCTAACTATAGCGATATTATCCTGGAAGCTCAAACTATACTGTGGAATTACAACCCATAAAAGGAACAATTCTGTATCAGGAAATAGTCTCACACGCTATAGCCTATATCAGATTGTACTGAGACTGAAATCCATCTCTCAAAAGAGAAAGGGGGGAAACCTCTTTTATCGCACATTAATCACTCTCCAAAGACCACTCACCCGCTCACCTAACTGCATCCTCAGACGCTTGGTTTACATTCTATTTAATTAAAGAAGATTAAAACCTATCATGTGACCTGCTCCTTTAAATAGGAGACAACCTCAACCAAGTCATAAAGCATTCACAATGCAAAACCAAAACCAAAACCAAATGGCATATAATATACAAGAAAAGTAGGCATTGTTGTCTTCAATACCAATTATGAATCCTCAAAGGCGTCGCGTTTTTCCCAGCTTGCTAAATTTTAACTGAACCTTCTTAGCAAATGGTATTAATCACTAGCTTTCACCATTCCTAGCTTTAAGTAGAAAAATCTATCTACTATTAAAGCTCAGTTTCTTCTACAGAACTTCAATTTCTGTGCAGACAATAATTCACTAAAGCTTAACTTAAAGATAACAAAATAAACCAAATGTACTTGTTGACCTCACTTGATAAAAATGCCATCCCAAATTGCTGAGGAAAGAAATCATATGTATGCCTATGCCCTGATGTCTCCCATTCAAATACTAGAGGACTGTAATTGCAATCAAGGTTTTAAATATCGAATATCGAAGAAATATTGGACGGCGAAAATCCATCTCAGATTGTGGATATTGGGAAAATATCAAGGATATGTAGTAAATATTAGAGTGTCATATACTCATATTGGATGATGTGCATTATAACATAATGTCCTAAAACATAATCTAAATATACTTAAAGAAATGTAAGCATACAAAAATCTAAATAATATATGTTTAGGATCATTAACCAATTGTAAAAAAAATTTAAGGGAAAATAGCCAACTAGAATTTGCTTTAAAAACATCTTAGGGCTAGATTTTGCAAATAATATTAAAGAATTTTGTAGAACTATATTGTTCGCGACAAGCCATATAAAAGGACAAGTCGGCTAACATATCAGCAGAAGTATCGGTCATGCTAGGGATATATCGCCCAAACATTGCCAAACATGGTGAAGGATATTAAACTATATCGTTTTGCTTAGAAAAATATATGTCTGCCGATGTACAAGTTATGTTAGGAATATTTAAAACAATGATTGCAACAATTAGCCCCTTGAGATAATCTCTCTAATATAACTCAAAAGTCGTCAAGCAGGCATTTTCCAATATATCGGTCGTCATGATGTGAATCTCGCGGAAATATTCCATCACACCATCAATTTCAAATTCTAAAAATGCTCCTACTGTATCAGCATGCTATTGTAGACTTGACAATCATTTTTCGATAAAGATATAGCATTAAAAGCTTATAATTTATTCTCTTCATATATTTAACTCATTGTACAATTTTCCTAGGAGTTTCTACACTATAATTTTAGCAGAGAAAACTGCTACAAAAAGCAACTGATAGATTGCACAAATCTTTGCCCTTCAAAGATATTACACAGTTTCAGTGCCATTATTCAGCTTCAATGCCACATTGTAACGGGCACCTTCTTATGTCACGTGTTGAGGTTGGATCCATGAACACTTTTGCATAATTTGCTCTAGCTTTATTCCTAACTTTTGATGTAATTTCATCCAATTCCTCCTCAATGTAAGCCATAATCATTTGAGATGCTTAGGCTAAGTTTTAGCCTATTCCATCACATCCAAAATTTACAAAATGATCTAAAATCACAACTGTATCTAAGAATTATTCAATGTGGACCTTTCTTCTTCTTTTTATGTTTTTCTTTTTCCTTTTTTTCTGTTTTTTCCCTTTCTTTTTTTTAAGAGAATTCTCGATGTAAACTAACTGGGTTCCCGATAATGATTCCTGTTGTACCAGATGCATTTGCTTTTAGTAAACCAAGTTCAACATTTATAGTTACAAAATGAGGGTCATACAGAGCTTCTCGCACACGAAGAAATTTTCCTTTGGTGGAATTGAGGAGTCAAATTGCAATCATACAAGAATGTTTTCACAGTACAAAGCATTTTTTAAGAAAACAAACAGAACAATGACACAGATGGCTATCTTGGTAATTGTCAAATGGGATCTTATATTTTTCCTTGGTAACACCTTACAACTTATAGAAGGTAAGAAGTTCTATGGACTTGTACTCTGCACTATTATAAAAATGCCACAGGTTTGTTTTAATGCCTATGACTCAAAGTGGACATTTACAGCCCAGGAAATGATAATTAAGCAAATGCAAAAAATTAAGGACTGTTAGAATAGTATATGGCCAGTATATGATAATGAAGCCTATTAGTCGTTCTATTTTCTTATATTCCCAGCTCTAATGTTGCTCCCAGTTCCAAATTGATGCTACAAACCGTCAATACTATTATTTAGAAAGTAGCCTCTATCATTTTAGTTGAAAATTATTATCTGCTGGAAGCATAATTATGATCACTCAGCAAAGACATTTTTCTATCCTTAGCCTACTTACTGTAGGGACATAACAAGATAGAAATACCATTAGATTCATCTCATTGCATCTCTGCAAACCTTCAGCATCAACACAAATAACCAACTTACAAGACAACATATCTATATGTTAGGCTGAGATGGTGTAAGGTTAATATAAACAGTCATAGATAAGCTTAACATAATGATCTGTGTCATGAGAGGTAGAATTTATTTGTCTTACCATGGTGAATACCATAGTGTTTCCTATTACATCCTAATCTTGCTTTTACCACTTCCAGAAACAACAAACTGCTACATAACAGGAAGCACATGTGCCTAATTTATGGTTCCCTTTATCACAAGCATCCTCAATGTTAATTCATTATTCATACAAGACTGAAAGATGCTTGATAAATCAGATACAGTCTATGAAAAAGAAAAAAGTTTCAAGAAGATGTTTTGATAGTAAGGCAGACAAGGTAATGTTATTTTAGATTTTCCAGTCTCAGCCATGTAAACGGCTAGGAGGAAACCACATATTTCATTGGTTGACAATGTGCATTCTGTTGGCAACTCAGAATTTTTCAAGGGGCAATTGTTTATGTCTAGAGAATAGATGGTGCAGAAAACAGTAATGTACTCCGGTTATATAGATACAAGAAGGAGACATGAAGGGTTTCCTTAAGATGGCAGCATATGAATTCATGTCCAATGCAACAGTTTCATGTTACAAGGATTGGGAGGTGATGTTCAAGGAAAGATGCAGGAAAAAAAGTACGAGCAATGTCAGTTGGAGGACTATAAACAGTTCTATATTTTAGGTAAGAGCAGTTGTATACTTGTATTACCCTGACACTGCTCGACTTCTTCCAAATTCCAAAATGAAACAAGAGAAATAAACACCATCATGCTCCTCAGCAAATAGTCCTAAAGATTGAGCCTCGGGCTTTCACTATGGTTGGGCTCGAAGAATGTTTATTACTTTTGTTGCAGATTTGTGGAAAAAAGATCCAAGAAAGCAAAAGCTGATTGCAAATCTTAGTATCGTTTGAAAAACCAGTTCATTGGTTGTGTAATTTGACTTGCAAACTAGACTTTTCTCAACTTCAAACAGACCTAATGAGCTAAAATCACATTCAAGAAGATATCTACACCCAACTAGCTCTCCCTTCATAATATTTTGCTTTCACACCATTACTTCATCTTTATCTTAATAATCTAAGGCTACTAATCACATAGATTAAGTTAGTACACTTATTTATCCTATTAATCTAGTATCAACACAACATGCAATTCATACCACAAATTTGTGAGCCCCAAAGGATTGTTTCTTACCAAGTAGTGAGTGATTGAGCAGTATTCAAATTGAAATTGGAAAAAAAAATTCTCTAATGGCCTATCTACTATTTCAAAGTAAAGATACCTAAGTTATCCTTGGCTAATAAATTCACTCAAAGCAAACTAAATTATAGGCCAGGAGACTTGGATTGTAATAAGTAATAACTTTTACCACAAGCTGAAAAGACCAGTGACAAACAACAAGTTTGCATGCATGTGTGCAAATATGGCAAGGATCAGAAGCTTGCATAGTCTATCATTAATTGCAAACATATAATTTCACATTTCTGAATAAAACTAGAATCTACAACTCAACTTCACATGAGTAGTAACAAACTATTAGCAAAACAATTTACTAAACTATAAAAATACAATCTATAAACAGTTCATCCACATTTCCAGTCTAAAATCTACGTAAGCATCAAAATACCATGCATTCCAAGAGAAACTATCCAGTGATCCATGTCCATCAGATACTTGATGCACTAAGGTTGTCTACATTTGGACCAGTCCAAAATCGGAGGAGTTTGTGAATTACTAGTGCGATAATCCAAGAGTATTTCTCCTCTTTGCACACCAACTATCCAGTAAACATGAACTTATCTAAACAAATCGATTGTCAATTTACAAGCATTTACAACTGCCAATTCACAACGATAATAACATCAAGATATTAATGAATCAAGCATCAAGAATCTAACTCTATTCCAAGAAAACTCAATATCATGCATTGCAGGAGAAACATCAATTGATCTGTGTCCGCTAGATAGTTGCTGCACACCAAATAATCTAAAAGTTATTCTCCTTTTTGATACCAGCTGTCTAGCAGATATGGACAACTAGAACTTTTTTCCGAACTGCAGACTCATTCAAGTAAAATGATTACCATAAACAATTTACAAGCACTATAGAGCTGCCAATTTCACCACAACAGTGACATAATGAATCAACCATCGCAAATCAAAATATAGAAAGAAAAAAAATTCAATACCTTGTCCAAGGTATCGGCACGCCTCTCGATCTCCTCCCTCTCCAAACCCTCCTCATTCTTGACCCCCATCACGCAAACCAAATGCCCCCTCAGAAACTCCCTGCAGTGCTCCTCAACCTGCCCCTGCGGGAACACCGACCCACACCCCGCCTGGAAAAAGGGGCAGTTCATCATCTTCATCCTGCACACGGTGATGCAATGCCGGTCCATCTCCCTCCTCACGATCCTCTCCCCGCACCTCTGCTCGCAGTCCAGCACCTTGTACGCGCAGACCTGGTCGTGCTTCTCCTCGTGGAGCTTGCAGTACGTGACCATGCAGCCGTCGTTGCGGCACTGGACGGGGCGGAAGTCGCAGTGGGCCTTGTGGAGGTCGAGGTCGGGTTGGGAGGTGAACTTGCGGTTGCAGTGGAAGCGGTTCTTGTAGTCGATGTTCTTGAGGACCTGGTCGGCGAGGGACTGGCGGCGGTCGAGGTCCAGAAGGAGGAGGAGGACATGGTGTGGCGAAGGAGTCGATCTTGTCGTCGCGGGAGTCGGAGAGGATCCAGACGGAGAGGCGCGGCGACGAGGAGCGGCGGGGGGAGGAGAAGAGGTCGAGGAGGTGGAGACGACGTCGAGGGGGTCGTCGAGGTCGGGAGGGCGAGGAGGAGGAGAGGGGATGGGGTGGCGGGTCCACGGCGAGGGAGGCTAGGTTGGGGATGAACGTGAGGGAGAGGGACAGGAGGTGGTCGACGAGGTCGCGGGGGAGGTCGAGGCGACAGAGGAGGGGGAGTTGAAGGGGTCGCCCGGCGTCGAGTCCACGGCGGCGGTGGATAGCGCGGGAGGAGGAGGCCGGCGAGCTTGTGGACCAGCTCCGAGTCGAGTGGGGGCAGGGGAGGAGATCCACGGAGGCGGGGCCACGTCGGGGCGGCGGCGGGGTCGGGGTGGGGCCGCGTCAGTCGTCGCGGGCCACGCGTCGGACGAGATCCATCGGGGGGACAAGTTGGGGGTGCGAATTCTTCGGTGGGCTTTGAACCGGTTAATTTGTTTGTTTCTGGTGGGACCCTCTGGGATTGTGGGGGCGCCCGCGGGGAAAGGGGCGCAGATTACTAAAATGCATACATACCCCCAGTTACGTTACTACCATATTTTAGAACGGAAATTTTTTTTAAAATTTACCCTTTTAAAAAAATAATTAGCAAAAGTAATTATTTTGCTAAATAGTTAGTAAAATCCATCTCTTTTGTTCAGCTCATCAAAACTGGTCAAAAAATGGTCAATTTTAAAAATTTTGATGTTTAAAATACATGAGACTATTAGTCTCGTATGTTTAGCGAACGCTAATCAAAAAATTAAAATTCTCTCGAAAGTATACAGGACTAATTATCCTATGATAATAGCAAAAACTAATCACTACCAAATCAATATACACAAGACTATTGGTCCCATTTATTTACAGGCATGGATATAAGCAGTTGTGCCCAAATCTTAGGGCACAATTGCATCTCTTTTCTCGTTCTCTCTCTCTCTCTCTCTCTCTCGATCTCATTTTCTTCCATGGTAGCCCAAGTCTCTCTTGATCTCTCTCCCCCCACCATATTCATCCTCTCCCACGTAACCTCCTTTTCCCTCAATTTTCTTTCTCTCCTTCTCTCCAAACTCAAACCAAGCCTCCTCTCCAAAATTCCTCTCTTTATTCACTCCAATACCAAGTGTCGCCACCTACATCAATTCTTGAGCGTTGTTGAACTCTGACACCGTCTAACCTCTCTAACGCCGACAAGCTTCAACTCTTCATCAAGGTGAAATATTCTAATTTTCTATAATCCTTTAGTTTCAATTGAAGTATAAAAATAATCCTATATTTTGATTACTTTTATTTTAATTTTGATAAACAATATGTTTTGGTTACAATTAGGATTTAACTAGAAATTTGGCAGATTAATTTTGATATAGAGGGTTTTTTAATTACGTTTTATCTAAAAATATAAATTTTAATTTATGAAGTGTAATAGATAATTTATACGTAATGAATGTTAATATTTCAGTTCTGATGGCGAACGAAATACCAATTATTTGTTTCTTTAATGGAAGACTGAGCATTGGAGTGAATAATATGTCTATATATGAGGGAGGATCTAGAAAAATGTTCATGTTATCTAAAACATACAACTTTGATGGAATGGTGAAGGAAATACATAGAGTCACTAGAATTAACAATGGAGAGTATGCAAGTAAGGTGTTCTGTAATTGTCAATAAATGAAAAAAGAATAATTGTTGTAGACATCACTAATGATCAAGACTTGATTGACATAATACAACTCCCTAAAAAGGGAAGTCTCAATTTAGATGTTCATTGAAAATTTTTTAATTTCCGGTGTTGCCCAAGTTTTAGATGCTCCTGGAAAATTCTCCTGCATACTTGACTTATAAAATAACTCGAGTGAATTTATTTCATCTCCAAGTGTCGTGCATTTAGAAAATGAATCAAATGTAATGGCATGGACTCAACTACAACATTTAAGTGGGTCTTCCCTTTGTGTGACGTCAAGTGATATATTCTACAATGCTTCAGGTCATGTTACAAGTAATTTACCGATTGGTTCCATTGTAGAAGAGGATGAGGATGCAGATAATGATTTTGAAGATGTTGAAGAAGAGCAACGACTTGATAACATACAGTATGCAATCGGAGGCATCAATGAGGACACTCATTGGATGAATGAATTTTGTATACACAACGATTATGTGAATTCTGAAGAACCATTGCTAGAAGAGTCTCAACATGAGGAGTGGATAAATGTCTGAACAAGCTAAGTTTGTTGATCTTTAATCTAATTTTGAATGACCCGATGACTTCACATTTCAAAAAAGGAGATCTATTTGAGAATAACGAAGCGTTGATTTTCGCTATACGTGAATAGTCCATCAAGAATCGGGCCAAATTCAAGGTGGTGAAAACTAATATAACAAACTACTATGTAAAGTGCTACTTCAACAAAAAAAACTCATGGAGAGTATGCAAGTGCTCAAGATGAAAGAAATTCAAATCGTCCTTGGAAGCTTAATGCAACTATTAGAAAAAAAAACTATTGTCTAATTTATGATTTATAGCTATTGCAAACTTCATGCATGTTGCAATCCGACTGTCAATGTCGATCATAAGGCAGTAACTTTCTCTTGTATCTTGAAGTTAATCATGTCCAAATAAGGAGAGAACTTGATCTAACTCTAGGTCAAATAATTACAAAGGTATACGATATAAGGAAAATAATTATATTCAAATATAAGATATATGATGCACGAAGGAAGGCGTTGACTAAAATTTTTAGAGATTGAGAGAAATCTTACTAATTACTTTTGCAATATCTTGAAGCAATTAAGAGGAAAATTCAGGTACCAAATATGAGATATTGTCTAAAGAGATTGCACCAGCAGTGGAGAATGCGAATATTTTGGGTATTTGTACCTGCTATCAATGGATTCTCATTTTGCCATCCACTCTTGAGCATCGATAGCACATAATACATATGTATGTGGCAAGTACAAAGGAGTACTTTTGGTTGTGACCGGTGTAAATGTAAATGATGGGCTATTTCCATTGGCATTTGCAGTTGTTGAGGTAGATGACACATCAAGTTGGATGTGATTTTGTCAATGTATCTATAGATTCATTCCTACTATCCAAAGTCTCAGAACAATTACTTTTATTTCTGACGGGATGGAAGAAATTCCACGGGCCTTGCATGAGAGTTTCAGAGCACCACATTATCACATATATTGCTTGAGGCATATAAGAGATAATTTTAACAAAAGATACAAAGAGGTTAATTTATAAAATCTATTGTGACAAGCCGGATGTGCAGCCGACACTTTGGTGTATGAGCATTGTAGGGAGAAGTCATTGCCAATTGAAGCACACAACCGGATTGAATAAAACTTGAAGCTGCAATATAAAGATAGATGGGTGTTAAATAAAGATGGTGGGTGTGTTATTATATGATGAGAACTAATTACTCTAAAAGTTTCAATGGCGTAATTAAGGGTGCCCAAGTTATACCAATTCAAGCTTTGGTTGCAAGGACATTATATAGGTTGAACGCATACTTGCCCAAAAGACATGGTGATGTGTAAGTTGGACGACAAGTTACACTCTAAAACATAAGAGTATATTGCAGAAAAGGATTGTGGCTGTAAGATCGTGTAGAATTATTATGTTCAATGATAATGAATGAGAGATTAAAAGATTGTGAAGGTACTTACATTGTTTATCTCTGTGACCAAGTATGCGGTTCTACTTATAATATACCACAATTGTAAAAATTGTCATGTAAACATGTTTTAACAGCTAGTTACAATCAAGATGGTGGTGATAGATTATCTTATGATTGGTATTATTTAGCTTAGTATTCAATGGATCATTTTAGAAAGGCTTACAATGATAGTTTCATCCTCCCGATGGTAGTTGCTATTGGTCGGCTTATAATGGATCATGTCTATTACCAACTCAATACGAAAGACAAGTGGGATGACCTCATTCCATGTGCATTATAGTTACCATGGATCAAAGGCAAAAAGGCATGGTGTCGTTAATGCAATCAATTTGGTCGTAATAGGTCTCGTTGTCCATCAAGAACATGTAAATAGCAATTAAATGATAATAAGTTTTCTATGTTTGTTTCATATTTTTATCATAATCTTATTAATTCAGCAAGAACTAATATGTGACTAGTTGTATGTGCAGATATATACACTATTCTCTCGGGTCGGATAGTGATGATGTCCTCTATGATCAGTTATGACATCGTTTGAAGACTATATCATTTTTAGAGGTAACAAAACTTAAGGCATACATGAAAGCTAATTTGTTCATTATATTTTTTTTATTTTGTGCTCTTTTTTTATGCAAAGAAGATTAGAGCTAGTTATGGTTGATCATAGTCTTGGACATATGCATGCTTAGACAGTTTGCTTTGGCATAGCACGTTCCATAAGAAGTTGAAAGAATAGTAAGAAAGGCCAAGAAATGCGGGCATCAGATAAACTGGAAAAATGTGCATCATCACTACACACACAGATGGACTGGTCGATATTTGGGTATCGTGGAGCAGATTGGTCACCATCTGTAGGAATCAGATTATATTAGGTGATATTGGGGGATTACTAGAAGATGGATAATAAATCAGACTAGGCTCCAATCGATGAACACCAACAATGTGCCCTACAATAGAGATATGTGCCAAGGGACATAGATGAGAGAGCACTTGTAAATAATTTGCTATTAAGTCAAAATATTTTGTATTATCAATAGATAGTTCAGAGGGTTCGTAGAGCTTTTTATTGAACTTATAGGAATCTTCATAATGGCCACGAGGAGATGGCGCAGGAGGATCTCTTATATGCATGCTGACCAAACAGACGAAGACGAGATGGATCTTGGACACACGACAATGAAGCTGGACCAGTGGCGGACCTATGCATGTTCAAAGTGGTTCACTTGAACCACCTGAAATTTCGAATATATATTATAATTGTCAGTTAAAGTAACAAAGAGGTCCATGTCCCAGCGGTAAAGCATAAATTGTTGAGTTTGTAGGCTAATTTCGTGAGGTCCTGAGTTCGAAACTTGGGATTTTGCTTTATGCAACTTCCCACCACAAATAGATAAACCAAAATGCAACACATTTACTTCTAATTTCTATGAATAGTTATGCAATGCCCACCTCAAATATATATATCTACCGTTTGTTTTGGTTGTCTAACCTCCATAAATATTATACATTTCATCCCTCTCCCTCACATAAGTATAAATAAAGTCTTAAGTCCAAGCTTATATACTAATGTCAAATGATTTAGTTATATACATTAAGTAATCATATGTAATAGATTTACTTTATGTAACTTTACAAGGACATTTTTATACTATCATTGCATCAAAGGGGATATTGTTCGGGAAAAAAAAATTCAAACATATTTTGAACCACCACTAAAAAAGCTCTAGATCCGCCACTGAGCTGGACCATCACATCTGCACATGCAACCAGAGGGCGAGCTCGTACAAGCTAAGGTCCATAGAGGATGACGATGACCTGAGCGGGTGCAAAGAGGAAGACAAAGGGGAATGGGGAAAGTTTTTAGGTTGTATGTAATAGATTAATGGATCTCATATATGAACTCTATTTAAGTTATTGATATAGGTTATTTGTAAATAAATAAACTTAATATATTTAGATTTATTGCAATTTTTTGGTGTATGGATATAATACGTGTTGTCGTGAAATGTTATCCATTTTGTTTGTTGTGATATTTTGGATTGATTAGATGTGTATTAAATTATGTTTATTTCTTGAAAACTATTAGCTATATATAGACATTATACTGTTTGAATATGCATATGAGATGATTTTGGATTTTTTAGGCACGGAAAATTTTGTATATACGCAGGAGATAAGTTGGTAAAGAAGCATGCATGCTTGGAGTTGTTTTATAAAACACAGAGGACTAGTAGTCCCATGTGTTTTCTGAAACTAATCAGAAAACACATCAGACTACTAGTCCCATGTGTTTTCTTAAACTAATTAGAAAACACATCGGACTACTAGTCCAGTGTGTTTTCTAGGCTTCTTTAATTGGTTATTAGCGCTCGCTAAATATATAAGACTAGTAATCCGGTGTATTTTAAACAATAAATTTTATAAAATCGATCTCTTTTTGGTCAGCTTTGGTGAGCTGGCAAAAAAAGTAATATTGCTACTTATATAGCAAAAATATTGTCTTTGCTAATTATTTTTAAATTTTTTTTAATAAATCCTCCTTTTAGAATTTAATTATGCAATAGACTACCACATATTCCTAGATTTTTTATTGGACCAAAATCTCCATATATATTTTTTTTAAATTAGCTCTTCAAATTTTCATTAACTATTCAAAATGGGATTGTAATTTAAAATGGCTAATTATATGAGTAGTGTAGCTAAAAGTATTAGATATTATTTAAAACTATTTAATGAATTTGTTGGTCTACTTTAAAATAATGAAGATTTAAGAGTCCAATATAGATATAGAACAAAAAAGGCTTGAGTTCTTAGTAGGTTTTTTCCCCTAGAAACTATCTTAACAATAGGATAATTATACAGAAACTATATTTTATTATTATTTTATGCATAAATCATTTTTAAACCGAAACTATCTCGTATTTTTATTTTATACATAAATCATCTTTAAAGTAGTTTTTTGTTGTAATCAACGACCTCCTAGTCAAAATTTTATTAAAAAACCAGAAATAAGCTTAAAAAGTTCAAGATACACGAGTTGTATTCTAACAAGAGCTAAACACTAAAATTTTGAGTCATGTGAAATGAATGTGTGTTTTTAAGGGTAATTTTGGATTCTAAGTGAAGAATTTCACTGGGAGGTAGTTGATTGCAACAAAAACCAACTTCAAAGGTGGTTTATGTATAAATTAAAAATGAAAGTTGGTTACTGTATAATTACCAGGTGGTTTCTAAGGAGGAAAAACCTCTACATAGTATGTACTTGCTTTTTAGTTTTTTAACATCTACATCCTTGGCCCTCTTTACCTTACAATTTTATTAATTGGCGTATTTAGTAGAACACATTATACATAATTAAACTATTTTTATTGTATACATGAATATAGATATACTAGTGGCTACGAATAATTTTTTTTTGGGAAAAATGCTTCCAGCCACCAAAAGCTAAGAAAACGTGCTTTCCACTCCCAAGACTTTGTCAATGGGTATTTTGCCCCCAAAAATAAAGATTCTGTTCTCTGAAACCCCAAAACACAAAACCCAAGAGATTAAAATATATGAAGATCATAATACCCTTTTCTCTCTCTCTCTCTCTTTATCATGATGTACTGATATAATAGTTGAAATGATTAATGATGATTATTTTATTATTTTCGTTCTCTCTCTCTTTATCATGATGTACTGAGATGGTAGTTAAAATGATTGATGAGGATTATTTTATTATTTTTATTTTTTATTATTTTTGTTGTTTGTATTGGAAGATTGTTAAAGTTACGGGTTAATTGTTAATGTTACGAGTTAATTGTTAATGTTAGTTGTTTGTATTGGAAGATTGTTAAAGTTACGGGTTAATTGTTAATGTTACGAGTTAATTGTTAATGTTACGGGTCAATTGTTAATAAAGTTACGGGTTAATTGTTAATGTTACGAGTTAATTGTTAATGTTACGGGTCAATTGTTAAGGTTATTGATCCTCTCTCTCTCTCTATCATGATGTTACTTTGATGATATTAAAATGATTGAAGAAGATTATTATTTTATTATTTTTATTTTTATTCTTTTCGTATTTTTAGAATATTCGTTGTTAAGGATAATGGTTGGTTGTAAAGGTTATGCATTGATTGTTAAGGTTACGGGTTGGTTGTTAAGGTTACGGGTTTGTTGTTAATGTTATGAGTTTGTTGTGTAGGTTACAGATTTGTTGTTAAGGTTACGGGTTTAATTGTTAAGGTTACGGGTTTAATTATTAAGGTTATGAGTTTAATTATTAATTATTAAGAATAATGGTTGGTTGTAAATGTTATGCATTGGTTGTGAAAGTTATGGGTTGGTTGGTTGTAAATGTTATACATTGGTTGTGAATGTTACAAACACTTAACTCGTAATGTTTTTTTTTTAAGATTACGGGTTAACGTCGGTTTGTAGGAGGAGACGGGACATGGAGGACGCCGTCTCGATCCAGCCCGATTTTGTTGAGGGAAGCTCGGCGGTCGCTAGGAAGTTTCACTTCTTCAGAGTCTTTGATGGCCATGGATGCTCTCATGTAAGCTAGCTTCGAAAATTCAAATCCTATTATCCCCTATTCACCACGTGTTTTTCTACTCGGAAGCCACTTGGGAACTAATATTTTCAAATTTTTAACTCGATAGAGTGGTTTAATTATCGTTAAAAATCATGCGTCTTGTTAACTGAAGGTTACGAGTTTAATTGTTAAGATTACGAGTTTAATTGTTATGCATTGGTTGTGAAGGTTACAGGTTGGTTTGTTGTAAAGCTTATGCATTGGCTGTGAAGGTTACGGGTTGTTTGTTAAGGTTATGAGTTTGTTGTGTAGGTTATGGGTTAATTGTTAAGGTTACGAGTTTAATTGTTAAGGTTACGTGTTTAATTGTTAAGGTTACAGGTTTAATTGTTAAGTTTACGAGAGAGAGAGAGAGAGAGAGAGAGAGAGAGAGAGAGAGAAGTGATCCATAACCTTAACAATTGACCCGTAACCTTAACAATTAAATCTGTAACCTTAACAATTAAACCCGTAACCTTAACAATTGACCCGTAACCTTAATAATTAAACTCATAACCTTAACAATTGACCCGTAACCTTAACAATTAAACCCGTAACCTTAATAATTAAACTCATAACCTTAATAATTAACCCGTAACCTTAACAATTAAACCCGTAACCTTAACAATTAAACCCGTAACCTCAACAATTAAACCGTAACCTTAACAATTAAACCGTAACCTTAAAAAATAAACCCGTAACCTTAATAATTAAACCGTAACCTTAACAATTAAACCCGTAACTGTAATAATTAAACCTGTAACCTTAACAATTAAACCCGTAACCTTAACAATTAAACTCGTAACCTTAACAATTAAACCGTAACCTTAACAATTAAACCGTAACCGTAACAATTAAACCCATAACCTTAACAATTAAACACGTAACCAACTCGTAACCTTAATAATTAAACCCGTAACCTTAACAACAAATCCATAACCTACACAACAAACCCATAACCTTAACAACAAATCCGTAACCTTAACAACCAACCCGTAACCTTAACAATCAATGCATAACCTTTACAACCAACCATTATCCTTAACAACGAATATTCTAAAAATACGAAAAGAATAAAAAACAAAAATAATAAAATAATAGTCATATTCAATCATTTCAATATCATCAAAGTAACATCAAGAGAGAGAGAGAGAGAGAGAGAGAGAGTCCATAACCTTAACAATTGACCCGTAACATTAACAATTAACTCGTAACCTTAACAATTAACCCGTAACTTTAACAATCTCCTAATATAAACAACAAAAATAAAAAATAAAATAAAATAATAATCATCAATCATTTCAACTATCATCTCAGTACATCATGATAAAGAGAGAGAGAGAAGGGTATTATGGTCTTCACATATTTTAATCTGTTGGGTTTTGTGTTTTGGAGGTTCAGAGAACAGAATCTTTATTTTTGGGAGCAAAACACCCGTTGACAAAGTCTTAGGGGTGAGAAGCATATTTTCTTGGCTTTTTTTGGGGCCGGAAGCATTTTTCCCATTTTTTTCACACACCTATTGCTATTCGCTTAAATATTTTCCTCAAGTCATTCTAATTTCTATTAACTCCTCAAATTTTAAGTGCTGTTAGAATTAATTCTCTCTATTCAAAAGTAGAAGTGTCAAGGGGGGAAAATTTTCTTGAGGTGGTGGGGTGGGGTGGGGTGTGGGGTGGGGGATAGAGATTTACAATAGTATGAGAGAATAGTTTCAGGGTGGGGTGGGGTGTGGGGTGGGGGATAGAGATTTACAATAGTATGAGAGAATAGTTTCAAAATGAATTCAGAAGTGGAGGATCTAATAGCCCAGCCCAATGAGGCCCATATTACAAGAAAGCCCTCACTATATTACATTCCCCTCGAGTATAAAATCCCCTTAAGGGTTAGGGTTTAGTTTCATTTCTCCCCATTTTCCTCTTCGACCCGCCGCCCTCAATCGAAGCTGAGCTCAATGGTAACGTGATTCGATCTCTGAACTCTGACCTCTGCGATCTCTCAATCTTAACAGATTCGATAACTTTTGTTGATGGCGTTTTTGTTCAGGCATCGGAGAAGAAGCTCTCGAACCCAATGAGGGAGATCAAGGTGCAGAAATTGGTGCTCAATATCTCAGTAGGAGAGAGCGGAGATCGACTCACGAGAGCCGCTAAGGTATCGCACTCGATCTCTTGTTTAGATTTTAGGGTTTACGAATTACAAGCAAAAAAATAAAAAAGTTGAAGTTTTTATGTTTGTTTACGGATAGAGTTAACGTTTAGTGGAATTTAATAGTTTAGGTTAGTTGTTGCTTATTGTTTTGGATAGTATCAAGTTTTGACACGATTTATTGGATTTAAGATAATTTTCATTATTCAATGGTGGTCTCCCTAGTAGCTACTGCGCAGAAATTGGTAGGAACGGTTGATTTCATTGCACCAAGTACAAAGACATGACCAAAAGCTGAAACTTTTATCGAGGATAATGGTGATTATATGCGTAGGGTGCTATTTTTCTTAGTTAAGATATTTATGAGGGTAAATGTGCAAATAATGTCTTGCATTATAGACTTTATTCCTGTCTAAAATTACAGTTCTTTATTATTTCGTGAATGATTGATTTATGATGAGTAGGAAAGCGGGAATAATTGTGTGATTCATTGGAGGTAGTAGGACTGCTTTTATATTCGCATTGTCATGTAATAAATTGGAGAGGATCCAAAATGCTATGGAATGTAGGTGAACTACTTTTTATTTGTATGGAATATAGCATTTAACTATCCTTATAGCAAACGTTCAGGATCTGATTCTCACTAGTTAAGCCGATCATTCTTTTTCTCTAGTTATGGTTCGGAATGTTTATATGATTTAATCAACCATGCATTTACAACTGTATTGAATGAATTAACTAATCACTGTTCTGCTCTAGTTATGTTTCAGAATGTTTATATGATTTAAGCAACCATGCATTTACAACTGTATTGAATGAATTAACTAATCACTGTTCTGCTTATGCCAATTGTGAGGAACTTCGAAAAATTTAATGAACCTAATCAATTAGTGATGACTTTCATCTTTTATGATGATAACATCTTCTTTATGTTTACAGGTGCTAGAACAATTGAGTGGACAGAGTCCTGTTTTCTCAAAGGGTAAGATAGCCTGTATTCCGTTGTATGCAGTTTTTTGGGGTGCATTTATACTGAAAAGTTCTTTCTTTCCTCTCCAGCTAGGTACACTGTTCGATCTTTCGGTATCCGGCGTAATGAAAAGATTGCGTGCTATGTTACAGTCCGAGGTGACAAGGCAATGCAGCTCCTTGAGAGTGGATTGAAGGTGAAGGAGTATGAGTTGCTAAGGAGGAATTTCAGTGAAACTGGGTGCTTTGGATTTGGTATCCAGGAGCACATTGATCTTGGAATCAAGTAAGTATTTCGATCAAATTCATTTACCTCCTCACTGATAATTTGAATTATATGTTTAGATATACGGTGATACTACGTAAGCCTTGAATGAAATTTCATTTACTTGTGTGTCTATCAAAATGACGGGTTGTGATGAGGAATGCTTTTTCTGACACCTCTTGTATGAGAAAGGCTTCAAAGAAGCCCTTCATTGAGCAGAGTAGCAAAAATCTGAACCCTCTTTCATTTATCCCTTACGTTGAGGAGATGGTGTCGTTTAATGGCAAATAAGTTTATACCATCCAGAAATGAGTGATCATTTACACGCACCTAATGGTGTTTGTATTTTATTATTTGCACATGATCTTTTAGATCTTGAAAGAACCGTTGAGAAGCTTTTAGAAGCTCTTTGAAACCTTAGACTTTTGTCCAAATTCTCCTCTTTGTTAGGTTCTCCAACTCTAGTTTGGTTAGAACTAGTGATCAACTGACCACCCTTTATAAACGTCTGAACATTAGTGATACCCCTTTGTTCTGTAATCTGGACCAGCAATATTTTTGTGGCTGTAATTGTTGATCCATTGTGGGGAATGGTCTAACTACTTTCTGGGGATCACCATAGATTTTGAGGATGTTAAAAGACAAGAAAAAAGGAGTTTGTTTGTATCCTTCATTTTTGTTACTATGACAGGAGATGGACTAGAATAGAGTTGGAACAGTTTCAAGGAATATGACTTCAAAGATATAGGTCTCTTGAATTAATTTATGGTGAATTATTTTTTAATCATTGATCTGACTATTTTTTATTTTTCTTATACATGTGAATAGTTAATGCAATTTTGATATAACTGCAAGAATTCATGATCTCAACATAGATTCTAGGGATTTTATTAAAAAAAGTGTAGCCATAGTGCTTAATTGCAATAATCCCTTCTGCTACTTTTATATTTAGGTTTTTTCGTGCTTGTTATCCCAAAAGAATATTATTCATTTAGGATAAGAGGCAAATCCTGGTCACTTTGTTTTCGATCATTGTCTTATAAAATACTGTTATAAGATACTTGTTATCCCGAAAGAATATCATTCATTTAGGATAAGGCAAATCCTGATCACCGTGTTTTCTTTCATTGTCTTACCTTCATTCGTATAAGATTTATGAGGTATTGATACTTGTTATAAAATACTTTTATTATTTCTGGCTCTCCATTAAAGTTCATGTGGTATTGATTATGTGTAGGTTTGAAACTACTTATTTTTACCTGGTATTGGTGAAACTTTGTCAATTTGTCATGGCTGTGATGAGCAATGCTATATTCTGACACCTCTTGTATGAGAATGGCTTTATTCAAGCTCTTCTGTGAGCAGATTAGCAACTCTCTGAGCTTGAACTTTCAACATAAGCAGCATAATTAATGCCATTGTTATAGTTGATAATCCAAATTATGTGTTTTTCTAGTAAAATACTTTGTGCTGGTTATTTTTTTTCGCTGCTTTAACATATATCACAACATATTTGTAGTAGTATTTGCAAATATCAAATCTTTTGTTTCTTATATGATTCTATTACATATAATATCACAACATATTTCTAGTAGTTTTTGGAAATGTCAAATCTTTTGTTTCTTATTATGGTTCTATTCTTTCGTAGATATGATCCTTCCACTGGAATTTACGGAATGGATTTCTACGTCGTGTTGGAACGCCCAGGATACCGCGTGGGTCGCCGCCGCCGCTGCAAGGCCCGTGTCGGAATTAATCACAGGGTGACCAAGGATGATGCCATGAAATGGTTCCAGGTTAAGTATGAGGGAGTCATTCTCAACAAGTCTCAGAATATCACCGGCTAGAGATCAGGAATTCGCTCAAGTTCTAGTTTATCATCAGTGGGCTAGTTAATTGTTCTCTTTTTCCTCAAGTTTGTAGAATGAGCTTTTATTTGTGATAAATTTTTGCTGGAAGAAAGACTTTGCAGAGTTTTTTGGGGGGACGTTTAACGTGTTATTTGACGTCCAGAACCTGAAGATAGTTGTTGTCTGCTATATGCTCTATTTGTTTCTCTGGTTTTTCAGCCTGTGAATTGTTTAATCTGAGATCTGTGCTTATTTTCCCAGGCTGTTTGGTTATTGACGGCAATGCTTTTTATGGATTCGTCACAGTATTTGCTCTTAACATGCTCCGGATGGTCCTATATAAAAATTTTCTTGATGGATTGAGGAGGAAGGTGCAAGAGTTTTCTTGATCTGCAAAGAACTACGATTTTCCGTTGTTCTTCAGGAGAAGAGATCCCAAACTGTGGATGCTCCAACATAAAAGATGAACAGTTGACGTACTGAACTAATGGCTCACATAATTTGCAACCGGATATTCAAAGTCAAGTACAGGATAAAATGGCATTAATTAATCACAATTTGCATTCCTCCTCGCTTAGAGCAAGGGCAGCAAGCTCCTTGCGTCCCCTCTCAAGGCCTATGTGGCGGAAGTCAAGTTTGCAAGCCATCCAGCAAGCTCCCAAGGAGCTCCTTGCGCCCCCTCTCAAGGCCTATGTGGCTGACGTGGACATTGAGAGCTTGGGAGCTCCCAACTGCCAAAAATTTACAAAAACCCCACTCAAAACTACCCCTTACCAGTTTGTGGAGCGCAGGGATGATTCTGGAGGCGAAGAGGCCTCCGACTGGGGTGTCGGTGACGAGGCCGACGCCGGAGATGATGGCAGCGTTCGGGTCGGGTCGGAGATGATGGCGACGAAGTGGATTTGGGGTGGGGTTGCGTCGAGTCGGAGATGATTTGGGGTTGGGTTCGGTCGAAGGAAAGGATTTGGGGGTGGAGTTGTCTGTCGAAGGGAGAGGATGAAGTTTATTTTTTTAATTGGGGATTTGGCGTTGTTGAGAGGAATTTATTCACAATGAAAATGACAGTTGAGTGAAAAAATGAACCGTTGAGTGTAATAAATGAGACTGAGTGAAAAATGAACCGTTGAGGGTAAAAAATGAACCGTTGAGTGAAAAAATTTCTTACTGTTGAGTTATGAAAATAGAAGAGGGGTTTTTTGATATTGTTGGAGCTCCTAACTTGGAGCTTGTTGGAGCTCCATAAAAGGAGGAGTGCCTCCCAAGGCTTAATTTGTTAATTTTTTATTCTAAAATGCTTGAGAGCTCTTAAGAGCTTGCTGACTAGGACTTCCAACTGGGAGCTTGCTGCACTTACTCTTAGCACCCATCAGAACCCCGATCTTTAGCGTGCCATCAACCTCGAGATGTAGAATTGGTGCTAGTTCAAGGCTTCAAGCCATAAAGCCATCAGAAATTGGAATAAAGTTTTCGTATAACAAGGGATGCTAGGACTAAGGACTAAGTTGAGAAAAAAAGAAGGTTTCATTATAAGCCGGGACCTTGAGGTACTACCTTGGAGTTTACATCATTGTTTTAAATATCCCCGATATGACCCGGTATATCCCCTGAGATATCCTTTTACAGGGTTTGCCGTAACTGATATGGTTTTTAAATATCCTTTACCGTTTTTGGCTATTTTGAGTGATAAATCCCCGATATGGCCGATATATTAGCCAATATGTGGACCAATATATCTTTTTATATAGCTTGTTGCAAAATATCAAGATATCAAGATTTTCCTATTATATCAAATGACATTTTGCCCTAAAAAAGGCAGATCGAATGTTGCAACGTTGCTTTGCACTTTTGTTTGTTTTAGAAGGTTGATTAGTGACTTTGCACTTTTGTTTGTTTTAGAAGGTTGATTAGTGATCCTAAACATATATTATTCATATTTTGTATGTTTAAATTAGAAGGTTGATTAGTGATCCTAAACATATATTATTCATATTTTGTATGTTTAAATTTCATTACATATTTGAGATTACATTTTAATGCATTATACTATGTATGAAAACATTCATTATGACATTTCGATATTTACCATATATCCCCGATATTTCCCCGATATCCGCAATTCGATATGAATTTTGGCCATTCTAGATTTCCCTGATATCCGATATTTAAAATCTTGGACTTTACATACATGCAAGGATAACCTTGAGGTTCCTAATTTTATTTGCACACGTAACCCTAGGAGTTGTTTATTGTCCTGACTACTGGGTTACCAGTGTAAATACAATTACAATCGTAGGGTCATCGATGTGGATACATAGCTCTAAGATGTAGTTACACTATACCTCAGGATACCGCAATGGAATTAATTCGAAAAATAAAGTGCCGGAATCGATTTGAGAATTAAACACTAGTAGAGAAACCAAATTGGTCTTTTAGCCCCTCAAAACTATTATAGATTACGGATCAGTTCTTTAAAGGGAGATGAAAGGATCCAAATTCCAGTGAAAATGATGATAAATGATAATATACATAGGTGACAAGAGTGTAAAATTTTAGCGGTTTTGTAAATATATAGCCCTTAATATTCTATATTTACAAATGACCTCTAAATCTTGGTATTTACAAAGTTAATCCCTCCTCCCTATTTCTCTTGTGTTTTTTCCCTACCCCTTCCACTTAACAATTTTAGTTTTTAAACAAGAAATTGTTGCAAACATATCTGAAATTAATGGTATTTTTGACATAGCCTTGTTTAAAAACAAACACTCCTAAGTTTGGGTGGCTGAAAGACCCAAGATGCTAGTTTTTCGGTGTGATATCACAAATATTCAAGATTTGAAGGGTGTATATGAAAAAACCCATAAAATTATTGAAGCTACTTAATTGTCGAGATAAGACAAAATTGTGTTTCTTTTCTATGTATCCTTTAATGGATGATTTTGATCATATTGATCTGAAGATAAGAAGGTTATGATTTCTTGTTTCCTTGAGTTGAAGGCTATGTGAAACTATATTGCTTTTATCAAGAAATTTTCATTAAATAATTGATACAGTGAAAAGAAATGTATCACTACCTTAGTTTTTTTTCTTTTCTTTTCCCACCCTTTTCTTCTTAAGAATAATAAACCAGTTGAAGAAAATATCACAGGGTTGACTATTTTTTTGGCAATGTACAATGAGTGATGAATGGTGTTAAATAGTGTACTAACATAGTACATATATCAACATTGTCTAATACTATCTCATATCAAAATACACATTGACTACAATGGATCTAAGATTAAAATGTTTAATACTATTTCATTTCGCCTACAAGACTCCCAATTATGCAAATGGTGATGGAAGATGTATATCCTGTATCAAGAAATATTTTCAAGTACCGTCGTAATCTTTAATCTTAATTGATACTAAAATACAAATAATGTCTTAGTAAATCTTTCCTAGATCTTGATTCATTCATATTACAATTCACCGAAAATAAATGTATTGATTGACATGCAAGTGTACAATTTCAAATGCAGCGAACATAAAAAAAATGTTTGGCTATTGATACAACTTGAGTTGGAATTCACCTTGTTAGAGAAATGAAATTCGAATGAATTAAAATCCAAGAAAGATTTAAGCCAAGATCTACATTCAGGGCATTTGGAAATGCTCTCTGCTAAAATTTTAAATACGTAAGACATTTAGATACACCAAATCTACATTTAGAAAAGATGCGAAGAGAAATTGATAGTGCCGATGTTCAAGATGGAGCGATTGAAAAATATATTCTTAAATGAGGTTTATAATCAAATCCTAGAAGTAGTCTAGGTTAGGCCTGTCCAAAAAGCCCGCCGGCCCGGGCCGGGTTCCGGGCCCGGGTCCGGGTTGTCTCGGAGGCGCTCCTCAAAAACGGTCAAAAAACGGCTATTTTGTGAGGTTATTTTGGTCATTTACCTAGGGGGCTGGTTCTATAAATAGAGGGGGGTTTTCATTTGTTTTCTTCACACCAAAAACTCATCTCTTCTCTCTTATACTCTTATACTCTCTCTTATACTCTTATACTCTCTTATTTATACTTTCTAATCCAATCCCCAAATGGCTTCCGGATCTGATTATGAAGAGCAAAACATATCTCCCGATCCTGAATTGAGTCCTCCTACTATGAGTCCTCCTACTATCAGTCCTCCTACCGAAGTTAATCCCGAATCCGGTGGCGACGAATCTGCACCAAGAGCTCCTAAACGGCCAAGATCCGATGTGTGGAATTTTTACGAGAAGATCGACGTCACCAAGGATGAACACGGTAGGATCCTCACCCAGAAGGCTAAGTGTGCTTTGTGCGGCAAGATTTTTCAAGCTCATCATAAGAGCGGCACCAACCACCTCAAACGCCATTTAGATAAACACAACAAAGGCCAGACTCCTCAAGGTGATATCCGACAATCTATGATTTCTCAATCCTCCTCTTCTGGTAGTCTCGGTAGTTGGAACTATGACGCTGCCAGAGCCAGGAAATGCGTAATCAGGTTTATCATTCTTAAAAACCTTCCTTTTAAATTAGTAGAAGATGATGAATTTGAAGATATGTTTAGAGATGGTTTTTATCCTGCATTTAAAAAAATTTCTCGTCAAACCTGTCAACGTGATATTTTAAAATATTATCAGCAAGAACAAGAAAAAATAGTTTCTTATTTTAAAAATTTAAACTGTAAATTTTCTTTAACTTCTGATATTTGGACATCTAGAGCACAAACTGGATATTTATGTATCACAGCACACTGGATTGATGAAAATTGGCAAATGTTTAAAAGAGTTGTTTCTTTTATTGCAATAGAAGAGTCACATACTGGTATTAATGTTGCAAATTTAATAATTGAAGAACTTATGAAATTAGAAATTTCAGAAAGAATATTTTCTCTTTCACTAGATAATGCAAGTAATAACAATGTAGCTGTTGATTTTATCAGATCAACTTTATCATTGCCCTATCATGGTGATCTTTTTCATATTAGGTGTATCTGTCATATTTTAAATTTAATTGTTCAAAGTGCATTTACTGAAATTAAACCCATGATAGAAAAGATTAGAACAGTTGCTTACATGCATAATGCTTCTGAACAAAGACTTAAAAGATGGAAACAATTTTGTAAAAGAAAAAAATATAAAGCCCAGACTAATTCCAAAAGATGTTGACCATAAATGGAATTCCACCTATGCAATGTTAAGTGTAGCAATAGAATATAAAGAAATTATAACTGATTTTATAAACTATTATGCTTCTAGTTCTAGTTCTGGTAGCACTTATGGAATAACTGAAGATGAATAGACAATTATATGTAATTTAAATGAAATGTTACAAGTTTTTTATGATGCTACAATGTTTTTATCTGGCTGTTATTATCCAACCATTACTTTAGCTGCTTTACAAATTTTAAATATTCAAAATTTTTTTGGGAAATATCGTATGGATGATACTTTTGGACCTATGGTTTTTCAAATGGAGAGCAAATTTAATAAGTACTTTAGGCCTATTCCTCATATTTTTGGTTTGGGAGTTCTTATTGATCCATGCTTGAAGGATATTGGCCTTCGAAGTTTGTTACAATCCTTGTATGGTAATCAGATTATAGACTTAGATGATGGAACCACCCTTACTGCTACTACTCATCATTTAGCTATTAGAAATTATTTTTAAACCTTATATGATGAGTATGCAGCTAGACATGGATGTGTAGCTACACAACAGTCTACAGCTTCGGTTTCTTCGAGCTCATCCCGAGGTAAAAGTGTAAGTTTTGATAGGTATGCAATGGTAGCTGAGTTAACTGGTGGATCTGGACTTGGATCGTCATCATTGGATGTTTCTGAAATAGATGAATATTTTTCTGCTTCTTTAGTTAAATGTCAAGGAAATTCTTTAGATATTTTACAATGGTGGAAAGTATATGGATCAGTTTCATATCCTATACTTTCCACCATGGTTCGTGACTTACTAACAGTGCAGGTTTCGACGGTAGCTTCACAATCCGCCTTCAGCACAGCAGGACGTTTGATCGACGACCACAGGACATGCTTAGATCCGTATACTGTAAAATGATAGTGATATAGGTGAGTAGGTGCCAACCTAGTTGGGAGTTACTTATCTATTGTGATGCGATTAATTCCAAAATAAATTTGTACTTGTAATTTGTAAATAATTTATTAATTATTAATAAAGAATTTGTTTTTATTATTTTTTATTTGTAATTTATGTCATTTTAAGTGATTAGTAAAATTATTGTTTTTTATTATTTTTCTTATCTTTTTTTTATAATTTAAAATTTAAATAAAATATAAAAAATTTTAAAAAAATAAAAAAATAAAAATAAATCCGGGCCAGTCCGGAACCCTGCCCGGTCGGGCCCGGGCCCCGGTTTTGTCCTGCCCGGGCCCGGATTTCCGGGCTAGGCCGGGCCGGGCCGGATGAACAGGCCTAGTCTAGGTGTTGAGGGGGTGTGTTTGAGTATGAGGTCTTAGTAAAAGGGATTCAATTGGCCTTTTAAGCCAACTAATTTACTCCCACACTCTCATGGATGACGTCATACGTTGCATACAATACGAAATACGTACATTCATTGAAATTTTCATGACGAGGTAACGCCTAGAGTTACGTACATCACCCACAAAAAGAGCTTAATAAACCGAAATCACATCAGGCGTTAGATCCTCAACCAACGGCCAAAATAAATCCACAAAAAGAGATAAAAACTGGAAGAAGCCTCAACAAATCAGGAACCGCCTCTGAGATCCCTCGCCCCCTCTTCGTCTTGCGGTGGTCCCCTCTCTCGTCGCCGGCGACGCCCCTCTGACCGCCACGTGTCCGTCCACGCCCTCCTTACGTTGCTCTGCAGGAACTCTTGAAACCTGACTCCCAAAGGTAAATGGGTGCAAACTTTAACTAGAATTGAATTCGGTCACTTCTAGGGTTTGCATTTTTTTTAAAAAAGATTTGTTCTGATTAAAGCGGTGAAATTTTAAGCAGAGAGTAGAGTAGTTGAGTTCATTCAATGCCAAAGTTTGTAGTTTTTAATTTTAATTTGAACAAAGTGATGGAATTTTATATTGCGAGGCATAATTGGGCTCATTCATTGCTAGGGTTTGTGTTTCTTAGAATTAGACTTCAAATTGAAACTAGGTCTACTTCTTTTTTTTAGCCCGAAATTGAGGGAGTTTCAATGGCATGGTTTTTCTTTCAATATTGAAAATGGTATTGGAGTAATATTATCACTAGTGAATAAATGCAAAATTCACACATCACAAATTTTATAAGTAAAATTTTGATGCATCATAATGATACCATCACGATGAGAAGTAAAATTTTGAAGGAACACGCAACACAATTGAGTAAATCTCTCTTCCTGTTGAGCAAAATCCCAAGGAGCCAAGGAATCATGAAGAGTTAGAAGTTGAAATTGAAAGAGGTATAATTAGAACCACGGTGTGCATTACGGCGTGCGGGGGAGGAGCAAAATTTGTGAAATGTGACATTTATGAACAAGTATCGACTGCTAACCATCTCGCTTCACAAGTTACCGTCACCTACATGAAACCTATACTTCCATTCACTTCTGTTAAAAGATATCTCCTGCGTCAAGTGACCAATTTTCATATCTTTTACCTCTTTTCATATCTTTCTTAATTACTGTAAATAAGTTCTCTCAGGCCTGCATCTAGTTCTCCTTTCCTGTTTGACAAATCATTTCTTCCAAGTGGTGCATTAAGTGTCCTCCGCTGCACATGACAAAACCATCCCAATGGATTCACTCTCATTTTATCTTCAATAAGGGCAGCCTCTAGACTCCTATGAATTCACTTACAAGTGACTAATCTTTTATGTTATTTCTACGAAACAGTTAATAATCTAGCTAGAGATGCCTGATATGGTTCGAGCAATTGATAATGAAGAAAGTATATTTGTATAAAAGGCTTCGAGGGCCAGGTCATCTTACTAATACTGTAATACATGCGTAATTTTCATCGATCAACTATGTATTAGTTATTTTATTTTGTTAGGATATAATATTTTCTTTTTTAATTTTATCCTTGTTTTTCCATTTCAGGGGAAAAAATCCACAAATATCTTGTTAATGGCTGAAGATAATTCGGGTGCTGATTCACCAAGACGAAGGCCAGGTCTTCTAAGAGACCAGGTCCACCTGGTGAAGAGAAAGGGCCGTAGTCGATATGAAATTGTTCCAATTCAAGATGCTCTGTCATTTGAAAAAGGTTTCTTTATAGTGATCCGTGCTTGCCAATTGTTGGCACAGAAGAACGAGGGAATTATTTTGGTTGGACTTGCCGGTCCCTCTGGGGCTGGGAAGACGGTGTTTACTGAGAAAGTACTGACTTTCATGCCAAGCATTGCAGTCATATCAATGGACAACTACAATGTTGCAAGTCGAGTCGTTGATGGCAATTTTGACGGTACTATTGCGTTTAGAGTGTAGCATGATTATGCATTCCCTCTTTTATGATCTTACCTATGGCAGTGACATATTGACTTTGAATTAGTTTTTCAGTCCTGTAATATCCATGTAATAACATTTTGATGCAAAAGTCCTATAATGTTGCTAGATTTTTTTAGGATGATTGTTTAGCTAAAAATAGCATGATAAATACTCTGGTTACACCAACAAATGGCTTTCATCTCATATGGACTATTGAAATTGAAAGGTTATGGACTTCAAAGGTTCAATTTATAAGGTTTATCAATTTCCTTTCTTTTTCCCCTCCAATATACTCTAGTTTGACATTAATACAGTAAATCTTAAGGGCTTGTTTGGATTGAGGGGAATAAGGGTGAAGGGAAGTTAGGGGAACCATTCACCTTGTGTGGAAACATTTAGGAGGTGAAGTTATTCACCCTAGTTCCCCTTGGTTCACCCCCTAATAGTATAAAATTTGTTACCCCCCAAATTGGGGTGTAACCAAGGGGAAGGGAACTCCTTTCCCTTCTCTTCCATTCTCTCATCTAGTTCCCTTAACTTCCCTTAACCCCATTGAAATCCAAATTCACCCTAAATATCCTTTCGTTGGTCTAATGGCCTTCTATATTGGTGCCACATTCTTGTCCCAGAAAACTATGGGATTGAGAGGGTTTGAGTTATAGTAACCTGACTTTTCGGGGTGCAGTTACAGAGTATGTGAACAATGAGATTGATCTTATTCTTATATAAAAACAAATAAGGAATTGAAGTTTGTTTCTCAGTATTTCTTTATTTGGAGGGCATGACACAGTGATATTCTCAGTACGGGATGACTGTTAAAATATAAACTCACAGTTACTGTATATTTAGCAAAAAGTGTAGTCCTCTGTCTTATTCTGTTGTGGATGTCATTCCAGTAAATGGTCCTTCTATCACTGATCACTAATAGCAAATGGAAAAGAAAACCAAACTGTTGTAATATCTAAATACTTTTAGCATTTCAACAGATCCACGCCTAACAGATTATGACACATTGCTCGAAAATATTCGTGATCTGAAGGAAGGGAAATCCGTTCAGGTTCCAGTATACGATTTTAAGTCAAGCAGCCGCATAGGATACAGGTAATTATCTTCCAGGACTTTGATATGTGATTTGTTGGTTATGTGTAGGTTATCCTTTTAGTTCTATTACATTATACAATCGAGTCATGAGTTTTCATGGCACTATCAGTGTTGTCTTCTTTACTTTGTTGTTAACAGGACAGTTGAAGTTCCTAGCTCTCGGATAGTCATTATTGAGGGAATTTATGCATTGAGTGATAAGTTGCAGCCTGTATTAGACTTGCGTGTCTCTGTGACTGGCGGCGTACATGTTGACCTTGTGAAAAGGGTTTTACGGGACATACAGCGTGCTGGCCAAGAACCAGAAGAAATCATTCAGCAAATTTCTGAAACGGTTATTTTACTGATCTTTGTTATATATATAAATTGTTTGTGGTTCCTCAAAGAAGTTAATTATTCCTTTATTATTGAGGGGCACTCACTTTTTCCACTATTTACTGTTAATGTTGAATGAATATCTTGTAACTAGATTATGGATTGTTGTATACAGGTGTATCCTATGTACAAGGCGTTTATTGAACCAGATCTGCAAACTGCACACATAAAAATTATCAACAAATTCAATCCTTTCAGCGGTTTCCAGAATCCTACGTACATTTTAAAGGTTAATGCTCTACTATAATTTGTCAAGAATTGGTGGAAATAGCTAAGTCTGCGTTTTACTCTTGAAATTAATACCCAGTTTCTAGCACTAAACGCTTTATATTGTAGTCACCAAGGATGTTGTCAGTGGATCAGATCAAGGCTGTTTTTTCCAATGAGCTCAGAGAGCATACAGAGGAGACTTACGATATGTATCTACTGCCACCAGGTGAAGATCCTGAAGCTTGCCAGTCCTATCTAAGAATGCGAAATAGGGATGGGAAGTATAATCTCATGTTTGAGGTTTGTTATTTGTCGGTTTGAGTTATATTATTTAATATTACATATTTCTATTAAAATATAAACTTGAGGTTGGATTATTGACTTATTAGTCGCCCTTCTGAAAATTTAGACAAGCGAGAGGTTATTGTTTTTTTTATTTCATTTTGTTTTTTATTTCACTTAATTTTTGGGACTGTGTGTTATGTTTTCTGGATTGAGAAAGTCAAGTAAACTGGATACCTGATTGACACGACGTTAGCTATTCACATTTATATTGCTAATCTGAGATTGGCTGTAGATTTCACTAGAGTCCTGACCCCATTGTATCTCATTAGTGGCACACGAACTGTTAACTTAAAATATCACACATGGTTCAGTGTCCTGTGATTTGACTTGTGAAACTTTCACTTGCGTTGGAAACTTGGTAGTACTATTCGTTTTACCTCATTTTAATTAAGCTGTTTAGGTTATTGAGATGAGTAGTTAAGACCTTGGGTATGTGAGTGTGTTTTTTGTGGTGTTGGGGCTAGGTGTTAATTGTTAATGTGTCTTCACTTTTCACTCTTCAGTGTTGGAAAGTTGGTCAATTTCCATCTTCGCCAGGTTTGCGTTGCTTTGTTATCAGTTATTCTTGTTGATAAAGTATATTTCTAGGAACTTGTACTTTTGAAAAGTCTTCCTCGTCGAAATTAAGTAGATCCTGATTTATTCTTGTAGACTAAAAAAACAAAACTTTTATCCTAATTTTTCAGAGAATCTTGCCGCTGCATTCTACTCCAGTTTTGTTTCCATATTTAACTTCTGGCTGGATTTTATGTGCATACCTTTATCTGTTGTTTGAAGTTATAATGCAGATAGTCTTGTGGAACTTGAGCGTTCTATTTAACTTTTTTGGGTGATTTTATCTGAAATAAGAAACAAATTCTACTAATGCTAAATATCTAGTAATATGGTTGTGTAACTAGTCTTTTGGAGCTTGAGTGTTCTATTTAACTTTTTTTGGGTGATTTCATCTGAAATAAGAAACAAATTCTACTAGTGCTAGATATCTACTTGTAATATGGTTGTGTAACTAGTATAACTTCACCGACACTATGCTTTATTTTTACTGTGTATTGTCTATCCCAAGTCAGGATAAAGAAGAAGGAATGCGTTAAATAACTGACAAATAGTGTAAAACATAATCAGATCCACATGACATGAATCTTATAGAATATTCGTTGGGGCGTCCCTACTACGACACGTTGCATTGATGCCACCCCGATGCAATAATAAATAAGCAAGGTAGTTTGCTAGGGCATTCCATGAAGCGACGCGTTACATCGTTGTCACCCTGATATAATGACAATTAAGCAAGGGCATTTAAAGAAACTAATAATCCTCTAATAGGTTGCCAGATAGTATTAGGCATAGACTAAAACACCACATGAGAGAAAAGGATAGGAGACTTTTACAAGAGAACAGAATTAGTTTAGCTACTTGAAATATAGGTACTCTTTTTAGCTACTTGAAATATAGGTACTCTTACCGGATAGAGGATGGAATCAGTACATAATGATCAGAAGAAAGACTAGTATAATTTGTTTATAAGAAACTAAATGAACAAATGAGAAATTTAGAGAAATTGAAAAGTCAATATATAAGCTTTGGTACATGGGAAAAGAGAAAAATAGAAATGGAGTGGGAATACTTGTTATTAATATTGTTGCTAATGTAAAAAGAGTTGGAGATATAATAATACTAACAAAAGGTGTATTAGGTGTAAATGTTATTAATATTGTTAGTGCTTATACACCACAAGTATGGTTGTTCAAGAATAGTAAAGGGGACTTTTGAGATAACTTTGATGAATTGGTAGAAAGAATTCCGCTAGGACAAAATTATTTATAGGAGGTGATCTAAATGGGCATGTTGGTAAGGATAATAATGGATATGAGAGGGTACATGGAGGTTTTGGTTTTGGAGATAAGAACGATATGGGTGAAAGTATTTTAGATTTTGCTATGTCGTATGATTTGATAATAACAAATACACACTTTAGGAAAAGGGATGAACACTTAATAGCTTTTGAAAATGGATCTAATCGTAGTCAAATAGACTTTTATCTTACTAGAAGGGTGGATAGGTTAATATGCAAAGATTGTAAAATTATATTCGGAGAGTTAACCACACAATATAGATTGATGGTATCAGACATTTCTATTAAAATATGGAGTAGAAAATTAATAGTAACAAGAAACTAAGAACTAAATGTTGGAACCTAAAAGGAGAGAATTTAGTTTATTTTTTTAAGATAAGATGATGAAGGAAGATATATGGAATATAGATACTGAGACTAATATTATATATAATAGTATGTATTTTTATATTAAGAATGTGGGTAAAGATATACTAGGAGAATCTAAAGGTTGTAGATTAGATAGTAAATGAGAGTTGGTGGTGAAATGCAGAAGTTCAAAAAGTGATTAAAGCGAAGAAGACAATATATAAAGATTGGCAAAAGTGTAGGAGTGAAGAAACTTCAAGAAACATAAACTAACAAGGAAGGAAATAAAAAGAGCAATCAGTGAGACTAAATACAAAGCCTATGAGAACTTCTATAAGAAGTTAGAATCAAAAGAAGGAGAAAAAGATATATGTAATCTTGCTAAGATGAAAGAAAGGAAGAGTAGGGACATAGGTAATATTAGCTGTATCAAGAGTGAAGATCAAAGAGTTCTATTAACTCACGAGGAAATAAAAGAGAGATGAAGGACTTAATTTCATAATTTATTTAATGATAACCAATAGGTGAGCAACGTAGAGAAGTTGACCATTATAGTGTATGATAGAAACTATAAATATTGTTAGAAAATTAGGATTAGTGAGATTAAAGATGCTCTAAAGAAAATGAAGAGTCGAAAAACCGTACGACCGGACAATCTTTTTATTGGATTTTAAAAATGTCTTGAAGATATAGCCTTAGGATTGTTGGTTCAATTAATTAATAAGATTATTGAGACAAAAATGCCCAATAAGAGAAGGATTAGCACTTTGATAGCGATATACAAGAATAAATGACATATACAAATTTGTTCAAACTATCATGATAATGATATTAAACTCATGAGTTATATTATGAAACTTTGGGAGCTGGTAATTGAGCAAAGACTAAAAAAGAAGACAAGTGTATCCGAAAATTAATTTGATTTTATGCCCAGGAGGTCAACTGTGGAATCTATTCATATATTGAGGTGGTTAATGGAGAGAATAGAGGGGAGAAAAAGAGTCTACGTATGATTTTTATTGATCTAGGAAAAGCTAATGATAGAGTGCCTAGAGAAATAAAAGAGAAATAATATAGTGGGTTTTAGAAAAGAAGTATGTATCTAGTACATATATTAACATATATTAATGTGATTAAAGAAATGTATTATAGAGTAACAACTAGGGTAAGAACAAATTATCATTTCCTATTATTATTGGTTTACATCAAGGCTCGACCTAAGTCCTTATCTTTTTGTATTAATTATAGATCAAATTAATAGGCATATTCAAGATGAAGTCTAATCGTGTATGTTATTTACTGATGATATATTATTGCTTAACGAGATTAGAGAGGGTATAATAGTTAAAGTAGAAAGGTGGGGACAAATCCTCGAAACTAAAGGTTTTAGAATTAGTAGAAACAATAGAATACATGAGTTGCATATTTAGTGAAACTAAAATGAAAAAAGAGCCTATAGTATACATTGATTGCCAAGAAATACCTAAAAGTAACCACTTTTATTATTTAGGATTAATTATTTGTCATGATAGTGAGATTGAAGATAATATTGTTCATTGGATAAAATCAGGATGACTAAAATGGAGGAGTGTTTCGGGAGTCCTAAGTGATCCTAGAATACATGAGACTAAAGAGAAAATTCTATAGGATAGTTATAAAACCAACGATGCTTTATGGATCAGAATATTGACCAATTAAGAAACATGTGCAAAAAATGAGTATAGTAGAAATAAGAATGTTACGATGGTCTTGTGGGTATACACTAAAAGATAGGATAAAAAATAAATGCATTCGTAGTAAATTAGACGTTGCTCTAATTGATGATAAAATGAGAGAGAATAGATTAAGATAGTTTTGCCATGTACAACGTAGATCTCCCAAGCACCCGTTAGGAAAAGTGAGAGGTAGACCTAAAAGAACTTGGTTGGGGGGTGATTGAGAAGACATGTAATGATTAATTGAATGGAGGAGATGACCCATAATAGAATGGAGTGGAAAGATAGGATTCATGTAGCTGACCCCAAATATTTGAGATAAAGACTTTGTTGTTGTTATTATTGTTGTTGTGTAACTCGTATAAGGCAGTTTTTCCTATCAATTTTTCTGTTCTCTTTGCTTTTTGTGGGTAGCCTAGTTTGCTAGGAGGGTTCACCTAGATTTTGTTACATTTAAGAGTTATGCAACGTATAAACAGAAAATGTTCCTAGTAAGTAAGATACTAAGATGTTATAAGATCTTTATTGTTTACTGTTACAGTTTTACCGATTATACATGAGGACCTAGATCAGGCAATGAGGAAGGAATGTTGTTTCCAACTTGTGAAGCAAAAGTTTAGATTGATTATTAATAAGGGAGAGAGTGACACGAGGAGGTGGGATATGTTGCCGTTCATTTTTTCCTTGTATAGTTTAGCTTCCCTTAAGAAGTTAATTCCAAATAGTTTAACAAATGTTTAGATAGACTAAGTTGTCATGCCCCAAAATTAACCAGCAAGAAACTGCTATCCGATACATTTACTCTTCAGCGAAAATAGTTGAAGAAAAAGAAATTATTTGACTCAAGTTCACCAACGTCAACCAACTTATAATCTCAGCATAATATTGACCCAAAATCAAGCTCGACAAGTTCTACTAAAGTCCATCAATCATGCAAATAGAAACCTATTCACAAGTCTCCAACTTGTCCAAAATGACAATAAAGACTAGAATAATCTTCTGAAAGTAGATAATATCTATAGTCCTTAAACAGAATACTAATTCAATAGGCTTAGATAAATAAGAACAATAACTAAAATTCTACCATATTGCTGATAGTCAGATCCTTCCATGCTGTGTGCGAGTCTTGTGAAATTTTAAAACAACATTTCCCTTCCACTAAGTGGGGTGAGCTTTGCAGCTCAAAAGCAATATTATCAAGTATGTTTTGGTCAAATTATAGTACGGTTGTGAAATAAGATAACTAGTCATATCTGCTCAAATAAAAAATAAAATAAGTATGCATGATTAAAAACAACCAATTCAATAGGCTTAGTTAAATAAGAACAATAACTAAAATTCTACCATATCGCTGATAGTCAGATCCTTCCATGCTGTGCGCGAGTCATGTGAAATCTTAAAACAACATTTTCTTTCCACGAAGCGGGGTGAGCTTTATAGCTCAAAAGCAATATTATCAATTATGTTTTGGTCAAATTATAATACGGTTGTGAAATAAGATAATTAGTCATATCTGCTCAAATAAAAAAAATAAAATAAGTATGTATGATTAAAAACAACCAAATATCAAATTCTCACAAAGTACCTTAGAAATGAAATTTTAATAATTTAGCTTTGTTATCCATCTATTGTTGCCAACATTCTCCACCCAATAATCCAAGTCCTAGCAACCACAAAAGTGTGTCTCACCAAATCCTAATTGCAAAATAGTATTTTTGTGCTCGGACATCTGCATTGTTATTTTTTTATCCTGTATAATGCTTAGACCCTGAGACCCCTTAACGTTATTACCTAATAAATCTTAAATCATAACTTGATCTTCTAGAATAACAAGTTCATTTCCCCCCCTAAAAGTTTCATATAGTTTGATTAATACTTTGGGAAAACTTGAATAACAAGTTCATTTTTTCCCCTAAAATTTTCAGACAGTTTGATTAAAAGTCTCCAACGGCCAGTTTAATCTTGCATGTATCATCCCATTTTGTCATTCTGGACCTCAATTGACATTTTGCCTCTAAGAAGCTATGACTTTTTTTATTTGTCTATTAGGTCAATGAAATGGGCTAAGAGCAAGGAGATCAAACTCAAAGCATATCAACTGACTTTTTAAGTATGCTCAATATATTTCGTACAATGAGTTAATTGAACCTGTCATAAATCCATATACCACTTTTGAATAAAGTGTTGTCTACTTCATTGTTACTATAGATTCCTGTAACTTACATGTTGTATCTAGTTCGACTCATGAGTAAATCATACTGCATTATCTTGGCCATATCATTATTGGATGACTTTAATTGATTCCTTCACCATAGTCAATACCAATTTTTGGTTTCATGTGTCAGTTTTTTTTCCTTAGAATTAAGATCAAAATGAGATTATGCATACATATTTGTGCTTGTAAATTTCTCTGTAGTCACTTGATTTTGTTTGTAGCAGAATCCTTTGACTTCTGTTGCTGGTGTGCATTTATGAATCAAAGATCATGGTTTTAACTCATGTTTTGGCTTCCAGGAGTGGGTAACAGACAACCCATTCATCATATCTCCACGGATTACTTTTGAAGTTAGTGTACGGCTGCTTGGTGGTTTGATGGCCTTGGGATATAGCATTGCAGCTATTCTGAAAAGAAGCAGCCATGTGTTTTCTGATGAAAGAGTGACTGTGAAAATTGATTGGTTGGAACAACTGAATCGACGTTATATTCAGGTAAAAATTGTCGAAGAAGCACACATATCTAATCCTTATTTTTGCCGTTGCCATTGTGATCATTGTTGTTATTATCATCATCATTGCTGTAAATGGCAGGAGCTGCAATGTTTTTTGTTGTTTGTAACTCTTGAGACTGCTAGATTTATTTCCATGTTAGCTACTAGGATTGCACAACATATTGTCTTGGCTGCTAGATTTTTTAGTTTTATGCTTTCTGATAAATCTGAAAAAGAAAAAGTGATAGCTTTAGTAGGTGGCAACAAATTTTGAGAAGATATTTTCCATAAGCTACTACATTTGTTTTATGGATATGTACAACTAGGGCAACCAAAAAATCTAAATATAATATATTTTGGGTATTTACTAGTAGTAAACAACAATTCAAGTCTCGTAACACAATATTGAAGTTATTTAACATGTTTGTTATTTTTCCAATATTCGTTCATCACCAAAAATCAAGAATGATATGAATTGTGTATAGGATTCTCTTATGTCTTGTTGCTGATTATGATTCTGGAACACAATCTTTTCCTTGGTGTTGTTGCTGGTATGGTTCTGGGATACAAGTCTTTTCATTAGGCCTTGTTGCTTCAGTGCACTAATTGGAAATCTTCTTTTGTCCTAGTGTTCTCAAGAAGATGTGAGTCAGCCCAGTTCTGCATGTATTCTACCTTGATTCTTTTTCATGTTTCCATTTCTAATATCTATTAGGACTCATTGTTGAAAACCAGTAAGGAGCCTACATGGGAAGATGTCATCAAGAGTAGAGGTGGCTCTGAGGTTACCTCATAGCAAAGGATTCGATTTCCATTATTTTTATACTTTTTCTTTATATACTTGGAAAAACATTTCTTAAGTATCACTGGTGGATAGATCTTTGTATCTCAACTCGGACCCTAATGACCTCAAAATTGTAATTGTCTTCAACAAGTGTAGGTGTCAATTATTTATCTGTTGCTAAACAAGAAAAATCTTCCAATAATTTCAAGGATTTTTGGGCTTTGTGTGGTTCATACTTGTCGTCTCTCCAAGCCTCTTTGGTTCAATTTTAACTGGGGTGAGCCTTTTTATTTAGAGCATCCAAATTGCTAGATCTGGATTATGTGTAGATTATGACTTTCTGGAAATTTAAGAGACTGCTATTTAAAAGAAGGCCCTTATCCTAGCCAGGAGCATCTGTTTGAAGAAAGCAAAATGCATTTTGTTTTTCTCATATTTGTATCTCCACACTATACACCAGCAGATGTCTTGTGAGATGGATGCATATTATATATTTATTTTGTTGGGTATATTATTGTATGTGCATTTGACTTTACATTTGCTAAAAGCCCATCATCACAAGGCTAATTTTAATTTCAATGAAGGTGCAAGGAAGAGATCGGCAGTTTGTTAAAGATATGGCTGAGCAATTGGGCTTGGAAGGTTCTTACATTCCTCGTACTTACATTGAGCAGATTCAACTAGAAAAGCTTGTGAATGAAGTTATTGTATGACATACTCTGTAACATATTTTCTTATTGTACTCTCATGTTGTATTCAAAAGTTGTTATGCTAACATGCTTGACTTTCAGGCTCTGCCTGATGATTTGAAGACAAAACTTAGCATTGATGATGAACTGGCATCAAGCCCAAAAGAAGCACTTTCCCGAGCCTCAGCTGATAGAGTTGCCATGAGAAATAAGAATCTTAATAGGTTCTCTTCTCTGACCAGTATCTTATACATAGTACATGCTATTAGAAGAAAGCATGAATAGTTTCACTTATCTATATCTTGTAGTCATGTTCATTATTATTCTTTTTGAAAGCTCTAGATAATCTCCTGGACGTATTAAATTGAAACTGGGTTTACTTGTTTCTTACTCACTTAAAACTCATGCGTTAAATTTTTTCGTGCCAATGTGTTGATATGACGTCCACAATGGGAAAAAAAAGATTTTCTCCTATGTCATGACTATGCTGGATATACAATTGTGTTTCATCCATAAGCTTCAAACCAAGCAATTCAAAAGTCCAGTTCTTCCTTCTATAGTCCCCATCAGCACCACCAGGAGTTAGGGTTCATTATCTGAGAGGTCAATGTTTTCATAATTTCTTAGATTCATAATAAGGTTTATTTCTGAGATTTCAAATTATATGATTAAAGTTCAGCCAATATTTTAGGGAAGTGTTGCATGTGTTTCTCCATATTCCTTTTCCTCCATCTCCTTTTCGAATAATAGAACTAATAGAACTCTCAGGCCATCAACATTGTTGATGACAGCAGTTTTTGGCTGTGCTTTTCTGATTCTGACTAGTAATAATGTGCTTTGCCATCGAACAAATTGTTCACTGATGCTATCAATCTGGTGATGCTATCAATCTGGTGATTATTTTACAGAGAGTCCAATAATATATACGCTTGTGCACATAAAGTTTTGGTCTCCATCACGTTAAAATCATGCACGAGAAATGAATTATACAGAAATCTATGCTGCCATCTGTTTCATCTGTATTGTAATGAGATATGACTGCTCTTGATGAGACACTTTTTTCTTCAAGAGATTTTTTAATTTTGCTACAGGATTATTAACAGATGAATTATCTTAGTTTTGAAGGAATTCTGGTTCAATTTGTGGTCAAATTCATGCTGGAGAAAATGATGGAGAAAATTTATGAACAATCTCTGCTCAATCCTCCCTATCTGCTATTAGGACATATACTAACTAACTAGCAAGGTTACAGAAAGTGCTAGGCGATCTAGGCGTTGGACTCGATACCTAGAGCCTAGGGTCCTAGGCTGGAGCGTAGGCCTAGGCGTTATTCTTAAATTTTTTATTTTTTTAATTACAATCAATATTATCGAAAGTGCTAGGTGCTGCTAGGTGCCAAACTAACGCCTAGCGTTTAGGCAGTAAGTGTAGGGGTATTTCTTTTTTTGTTTAAGGGGTGAGGGAAGAGGTTTTGCTAAAGGTTGGAGGGGTTGGAGGAGGTGTTCGGTGGAGGCGGCCGAAAGAGTTCAGAGGATGTTAGATGATGTGAAGGCAGATAATGGAGGAAATCACGACGAACATCTAAGCGTTGCAGTCCGTGTAAGCGGTTTCTGCTCCGTTAGGCGCTCCCAAGACTTAGGTGAGCAGCGTAAGTACCGCCTAGGCTTAGGCGGGAGCATCGGCTGGCTAGGTCGGAGCTTTTTAAAACATTGTTAACTAGTAGTAATAGTTTTTGAGATATACACAGATTTATTGTCTGAATTGTGAAAGATATCTTATTCACTTATTTCAATGCAGTGAAATGAAATGCATCAATCCTCGTTGTTACTAATATGAATGTCTTTAAATTTTATGAACAACCCCTTGTTCAGTACCTTCCATATCTGTTATTAGGAGTTAGGATTCATAATAACTGTCATGTTATGATAGTTTTGAGATATACACGCAGTTTTATCATCTGAATTGTGAAAGATGTATTACTTCTTTCAACTGCAGTGAAATAAACTAATCCCCTTAAAAGTTTGTAGTTCTTGCCTCTTTAGTTTTCTTGCTTTTACTTTTCACTGGAAAGGCTTTTGCCACCACCATGAGGCTGATGTTTGTTTCCTGCAGTGGTTTATCTCATTCATATTCAACTCAAAGAGACAAGCATATTGCTAAGCTGGCCAGACTAACAGTTGGCACGAGAAGATACGAAGGAAGAAACCCAGACTTACCTGCAATCAATCAGGTCACCACATTTCAAGAAATTGCGTGAGATTCCACTATTTAATTCTGTTCATTGTTTAACTTTTCATTGGTTTCTATGTAGGGAGCGATTACTCAACTCTCAGATCAGATATCCACATTGAACGAAAGAATGGACGTTTTCACTTCCATAATTGAGGAACTGAATTCCATGTTTAGCATGCAGAAGCGTTCTATAAGCCAGCAAAATCTCCCTCTTCAAGGTGAAGTGTGCAATGGCTCGGCACCCACGTCTCTATTCATGTTCAGCTTGGGCAATGGGACCCTGATACCTAATTCATCATCGTCCACACAACTGAGTAAAGATTCCCCATTGTTGGAAGAGGTATGCCCCTATTTATTTGGAAGATTAGGGGGGAAAAACTTTAAGAGGGTCCTCTGTAGAAAATCATATAGAGAGTAACCATATTTTAACATGTATCCTCCAGCACGAAACTTAAAGTTGGGTTGATACCATCAAACTTTCTTCTAGTGAGACATATCGCTTCTTGGTTTTTCATACTAAGACATGTGTCAAGATCTGGTTCCTCACCATACGATTTTTTAAAGGAACCCTCTATTATTTTTTCCAAGGATTACATGCCTTTCGTGTTCTCATTATATTTTCATGTCGGGCCTGCTTGGGTGTTTTCCTGAAATTATTCCAATTTTCCTCCTAGAAAGGCATTTCCAATGATTTCTGAGTGTTTCTCAGTAATTTTTTTTTTGCCCCACAGCCTTAAATCAAGGGGTGGAAATTGCTTTCCAGGAGAATCATATTTTATATGGACACTCATAGTATTATTTTACAACTGCCTATCAACTGCTTAGGAAATGCGTTTGGTTAATCTTTTTTTGGGTGAAACTTCACAGAACTCCTATGAATTTTAAGGGTCTTGTTTACGAATTACTATAAACCTTTTCTGATTGAGAAACTACAATGAAATTATTTCACTAAAACTATCATGACTGATGGCAGGCATGTTGAGTAAGAATTGTACAAATAATCCTACCTGTAATTTTAATCACTGATCTTTCTTCTTGAACTTTTTTTTTTTTCCCTTTGTGCTTGAATTTTGTTCTTGAACTCAGCTTTCAGTCTTCAGCAAATTTTGTAATACGTGCTACCTAAAGCTTCTACGTTCCCTAATTCTTTCCAAATTATACAATATACACTGATGCCTTGTATTTTCCAATCACAGATCATGACCGTTACAAGAACTCAGCGTCAAATGATGCATCAGTTGGATAATCTATCAAAATTGGTTCATGAAAGCTTGGCTCATCAGCTTACCCACCAAAAAAGAAGCGATACAAGCCGCATACTCTGTCTGGATTCAGTTGGAAAACCCCTTCTTCTCGTTGTCGCAGCAGGCGGCCTCGGTTTTTTCCTGTTGAAGAGTTTATCTAGGACTTGAATCAACTAATTTATCTGAGTATTCTTGTTGACATCCTGAATTTTCTACCGTTCTTTACATGGACGCTGACGACGTAACACGGTTCTCTCTCATTGCAGTTGGCATAATAAATATATCCGTTAGAATCTATTGCCTTTTGATCTGATAACATATTACGTTGAAGAACTTTACATTCTTGGCTTTTACCGACTAGGGCGTGTTTTAATTTGAAAAATAATAAGAAACCTTTTCCATGTAAAAAGTTCAATATAGGTCCCTAATGTTTAGTTTGATTTTATTTAGGTCCTTAACGTGGGAACGTCGATACAGGTCCTTAATGTTTATCCTGCTATCAAATTTGATTCTTTTTTATTTTTTCTGTTAACTTGACGTGATATGACTTTTTTGGTTATTTTTGTTGAGAAAAATTACTTCCAGCCCTTGGTTTTTGAAAATCAAACTTTGCCTCCAAATGAAAACTTAGAATCTCTAAAATACCCCTAATTTTTCATATTTTAAAATTAGTTCTTCAAATTTCAATTCATAAGGTATTCATAAGTTATTCTGAAATTAGCTACTCAAATCATTAAAATTGCTATTAGGTTCCTTAATTCTTAAGCTATGTTGAAATTAGTTTATTAAATCAATAGCAAAATTAGCGATCAAAGGGATAAGCTTGAGACAACTTTTGAGAATTGTGTGACCTAATAGAGGTTTAGATGATTTGAGAGACTAATTTCTCTCCAATTGATATTTTACTCTTGATTGGAGGGACAAATTTCAAAATAACTTAAGAATTAGAGAACCTAATAGCGATTTTAATGATTTGAGGAACTAATTTTAAAATACCTTATGAATTGAGGGATCCAGTAGCAATTTCCAGGATGTGAAGGACTAATCTTAAAATATGAAAAATTAAGCGTATTTTAGAGAGAAATGAAAATATTGTTGGTAAGAGGGGTTTGATAATGTGAATTAAACATTTAGAGGGGTAAAATCTTTAAGTTTTGACTTGGGAGCAAAACTTGATTTTTAAAAACCATGGTTTAAGCAATTTTTCCCAAAAAAAGACCAAAAATACATGCCACATCAACTAAGGGGCTGTTTGGTTGTTGTTGGTAATGTTGTGTATTTATGACACAAATTGGAAAGTTGTTGTCCACCTCATCACTTTACATTTAGGACCCGTTTGGATTGATTTTTTGGAGCTGTAAAATGGGTGAAAGCTGTCAAAAATGGCAGCTTTTTGGCAGCTTTCCTCCATTTTACAGCTTCAAAAAATCAATCCAAACGGGCCCTAAAGTTAACAGAAAAAATAAAAAAAATGACCAAATTTGATAACAGAGTAAGATAAGGACTTGTGTTGATGAGTTTCAAGAGTGGTGTTAGGGGCACATCCCCTACCACACCACCAACCGCACCCCCTCTCCCATCGCTACAGTAAACCGGGCCCCACATGAGATTTTAAAATTTTTAAAATCCCATGTGAGGCCCGGTTTACTGTAGCGATGGGAGAGGGGTGTGTGGTTGGTGGTGTGGTAGAGTGGGTGGAAACGGTTTTGCCGCTTTGATGTAGTTTTCATGTAGCTTTGATGGAACGAGAAAAATAGGAGTCCAATGAATTAAATAATGAGTTTCTATTAAATTAAGAGTTTTGCTATAGGGACTCAAAATATGAGATCAATAGGGGGGACAAGTAAGGTGTCCCCATCCTATTAGATAATGAGTTGATCATCATTAATGACGGTCAACTCATTATCCAATAGGAGGGAGACATCTCACTTGTCCTCCTATTGGTCCCATATTTTAGGTTCTTGAGGAATTTTTCTTAAATTAATTTCCGCTAGAAAATCTCTCCACCAATTTCACATTATATAATTATTAAATTTCACATTTCCGCACCCATGCGGCTCAATTCCGAGCAAAAACAGCGGAAATGGTCTACAGAGGAAAAAGTGACCATTTGTGACGTTCAGATAAAAATATTCCCTTATAATTTGAGTGGTGAAACAAACAAAAGAATTGGAAAAGAAAAAGGGAAAAATGCTTCCAGCCCCCAAAAGCCAAGTGAACGTGCTTCCCACCTCCAAGACTTGGTCAATGAGCGTTTTACCCCTAAAAATAAAGAATATGTTCTCTGAGCCCCCAAAACACAAAACCCAAGACATTAAAACATGTGAAGACCATAATACCTTCTCTCTTTCTTTCTTTTTTTATTAAAATATGATGATGATTATTTTATTATTTTTGTTTTCTCTCTCTCTTTATCATGATGTACCAAGAGGATAGTTGAAATGATTGATGATGATTATTTTATTATTTTTGTTTTTTATTATTTTCGTTGTTTGTATTGGGATGTTGTTAAAGTTACGGGTTAATTGTTAAGGTTACGAGTTAATTGTTAATGTTACGGGTCAATTGTTAAGGTTATGAATCCTCTCTCTCTCTCTCTCTCTCTCTCTCTCTTTCTTTTTTATTAAAATATGATGGTGGTTATTTTATTATTTTTGTTTTTCTCTCTCTCTTTATCATGATGTACCAAGAGGATAGTTGAAAGAGTGCTGCTACGGGGACCCAAAATATGGGACCAAGGGAGGGGACAGGTGAGGTGTCCCCTCCCTATTACATAATGAGTTGGCCATGCCAACTCATGGCCAACTCATTATGCAATAGGGAGGGGACACCTCACCTGTCCCCTCTCTTGGTCCCATATTTTGGGTTCTTAAATCATTTTTCTAGGAATCCTCTCTCTCTCTCTCTCTCTATCATGATGTTTCTTTGATGATATTGAAATGATTAAAGAGGATTATTATTTTATTATTTTTGTTTTTTATTCTTTTTGTATTTTTAGAATATTCGTTGTTAAGGATAATAGTTGGTTGTAAAGGTTATGCATTGATTGTTAAGGTTACGGGATGGTTGTTAAGGTTATGGGTTTGTTGTGTATGTTACGGATTTGTTGTTAAGGTTACGAGTTTAATTGTTAAGGTTACGTGTTTAATTGTTAAGGTTACGGATTTAATTGTTAATGTTACGTATTTAATTGTTAAGGTTACGGGTTTAATTGTTACGGTTACTGTTTATTAATTGTTAAGGTTACGGTTTAATTGTTAAGGTTACGGGTTTAATTGTTAAGGTTACGGGTTTAATTATTATGGTCACGGTTTTAATTGTTAAAGTTACGGGTTTAATTATTAAGGTTACAGTTTAATTGTTAAGGTTACTGTTTAATTGTTAAGGTTATGGGTTTAATTGTTAAGATTACCGGTTTAATTGTTAATGTTACGGGTTTAATTGTTAAGGTTACGAGGAAGAGAGAGAAAGGATCCATAACCTTAACAACTAAAACCGTAACCATAATAATTAAACCCGTAACCTTAACAATTAAACCCGTAACCTTAACAATTAAACCGTAACCTTAACAATTAATAAACCGTAACCGTAACAATTAAACCCGTAACCTTAACAATTAAATACGTAACCTTAACAATTAAATCCGTAACCTTAATAATTAAACACGCAACCTTAACAATTAAACCCGTAACCTTAACAACAAATCCATAACCTACACAACAAACACATAACCTTAATAACAAACCCTTAACCTTAACAACCAACCCGTAACCTTAACAATCAATGCATAACCTTAACAATTGACCCGTAACATTAACAATTAACTCGTAACCTTAACAATTAACCCGTAACTTTAACAACCTCCCAATACAAACAACCAAAATAATAAAAAACGAAAATAATAAAATAATCCTCATCAATCATTTCAACTATCCTCTTGGTACATCATGATAAAGAGAGAGAGAAAAAACAAAAATAATAAAATAATCCTCATCATATTTTAATAAAAAAAGAAAGAGAGAGAGAGAGGATTCATAACCTTAACAATTGACCCGTAACATTAACAATTAACTCGTAACCTTAACAATTAACCCGTAACTTTAACAACCTCCCAATACAAACAACGAAAATAATAAAAAACGAAAATAATAAAATAATCCTCATCAATCATTTCAACTATCCTCTTGGTACATCATGATAAAGAGAGAGAGAAAAACAAAAATAATAAAATAACCCTCATCATATTTTAATAAAAAAAGAAAGAGAGAGAAGAGTATTATGGTCTTCACATGTTTTAATGTCTTGGGTTTTGTGTTTTGGGGGCTCAGAGAACAGATTCTTTATTTTTAGGGGTAAAACGCCCATTGACCAAGTCTTGGGGGTGGGAAGCACGTTCACTTGGCTTTTGGGGGCTAGAAGCATTTTTCCCAAAGAAAAAACATAAAGATTTTCTTTTTCTAACAATGCAAGGAGGTTTCTGATGTAGAAAACACGACAGACATGTTTATATCAAAGTGGGACAGTCGCAAGCTGAAATGCGGGTCCGGTCGAGAAAAATAACTTGTTACGAAAAAACGGCCATAACTTTCAAACCGTACGTCAGAATTGGTCGAATTATATATGAAAATCGACTATCTCGATAAGACGGAGCCATCCAAACCTACCCTTAAGGTTTGGTTTGCTTCCTCCGTTTCACCAAATTCCTTACGGTTTGAGAGATTTTTGTATTTTTGTCTGTTTTTTTTTACTATTTTTAGTAATGTTTTAGGAGTCTGTATTGTTTAGGAAGCAAATCCGATTTGATCTCAGATTTGACCGGTGGACTTTCCTAGTCATAAGGAGTCATTTAGGAGTTTTAATATTTTAGGAATTCTTTTATTATTTTTGGTAAAGTTTGAGTCCTTGTAGAAGTCTTGTTTCTTTTTCTATTTAAGAAGAGTCTTGTTAGCCCTAGAGGCCTATCTTTTAATTAATAAAATTTTGTTTTTTCTTCAATATTTAATCCATGGATTTGAAGCTCTTTGTGGATTCGAAGATTGTCCGGATTTCGAGGCTACTACTCTCGCGCTGCGTCAGTTTCCAAGTGATTTCTGCAGTTCCCACTTGAAACAAACACGCCCTACCGTGAAACTCTTGAGTATCAGAATGACAATCCAGGGAGTTTTAACTCAAGTAAACCC